TTGTTCCACAGACAAAAAAAACCCCAATGTGTTTAAAGACGATTAGGGGTTGGGCGGACCGGCGCTGAACGAGACTGAACGCCTTTAAAAGCACTCCATTATGTCTGATTGCTCCTCTTCAGAAGGAAGCCAATAGAGAGATCCCTGCTATTGCTGTGATTTGGGTGAGAATTAACATGCAGTACTTTGCACTGAGTGAAACCAAAGGAAGCAATAGTGGAGACAATTGAGAGCTTCAATACCATGAGAGAGAGAGAGAGAGAGAGAGAGAGAGCAAGTGATGTGGTCAGTTCAACAGAGGAGAGACAGAAGCACTGGTTGAGCAGTTTTGTGGTGAAGATCAAAGTGATAAAGACAAAGCAAAGACACAAAGAAAGAGCTTTAGTGCAGTTTTTCATATATAACATTTCAAATGTGGTATTTAAAATCTTTTTATATTTTATGTGTTTGCCAGTATAACACCACATCTCATTAGAAAAAAATAAACATAAAAAAGTAACAAGAATTTCTTGTTTTCGAAAAAGAGTTCGAGCTGGTTTGAAGGACATGTTTGGTTTCAGATTTCTCTTCAGCAACCCTGACCATCACATACACTCTTAAAAAAGATGGTTCTTCAAGGGTTATACAGAACCATGAACACTCAAAGAACCATCTGCATGTATATATATATATATATATATGTGTGTGTGTGTGTGTGTGTGTGTGTGTTATTTTACACCACATGCCAGCTGCACTTCACTTGTCTTGATAAATGAAGCAGAAATGCAAAATTACTTTCAATAAAACTGTGTTATGTTAAGTTACATTAAAAATTATGAATGTTTCTTCCAAGCTACTATTTGGGAAAATATGAAAAGTGTATTATATGTCTCACTGTTCCTTCTTCAAAATAAGCAAGAACCAAAAAAAAAGATAGTGTATCTTTTTTACTTTTTCCTGTCCTTAGTCTATTTTACAATAGAGAAAAATCACTCTTGGACATTTTCTGTCTTGAATGATATGCTTTCATTCTCTGTTTATCTGTATCAAGAGCTGTTTGCTGTTGGCTTGTTAGTTGTTATGCCACACTCTTTCTAAATAAAAAGAAATAGTGCATGTTTGTGTTCACTTTGAGCAATGCAGAATTGTTTATTCTCTAATATGCAGTGTTCTACTTGTTCTACAGTTTGTACAGTTGTTTGTTCTCTGTTGATTTGAACTTATTTTCACTTTGAAAATTAAAAAAAATATATAATTTGATTGTGGGGGTCAAACTTTGGCATTCGACTGTATGTCTAAAGACAAAAGACAAACTCGAATGATGATTTCTTCTCTTTTTCCAACTAAGCCAAACTGAGTCATAATTCAAAAGGTATCCCTGCACACACTGAAGGATAAATGTTAAAACACCATGTTTGGATGGCAAGAACAATATAAGACTTGAAGTGTCTTCATTTATTTCATTTATTTAGTCATTTGTACATATTCAAGGGTGATTTGTTCATCTGATGTATACATCTACAGTGGACTGTTCCCAGGTCTGAGCCATCTCAAGCCCTATTCTTTGAGGCGCCCCCTGGGCCTCTGACAGCTAGAAGCCCCTGGGTACTGGCACTACTGGCCTGTTCAGTAATCCATCCCTGAAAGGTGGAGAAAACTGTCTTACTTTTGTTAAACCTGCTGAGAAAGTCAGTAACCCTCCAAGATACTGAGTCAATGCTGTCTCTTTCTGTTTGATTGGATATCAAACTCAAGAGAGGCTTTGACTAGATCTTTTCATAGATGTTGTTATGTCTGGATGTCTGGTTTGTATGGTGCTGTTTCAACCAGCCTGTAAGAGTAAGAGAAAAGTATGAATCTGAATCACTCAATACTAGAAAAGATCATTGTTATCATTTGTTGGATTGGGTTTAGATACTGTGGCCGGCACCAGCCTTCAGGTTCCTCGGTTCATCTAAACTTCTCTATAACTCTGTTCTAGCTGTTACACTCTTTTGTCCTTATTGTTTAAGGAGCTTTAAACAGAGAGACACCTGCACTTCAATAAGAGGCCATAATACCTCAACTCCACACCATAAGTCACCAGCTCCTTTCGCACCAACAATATCCTACTGCTGAAAATGTCCATTTCCAGAGATCAGCTTTAGCTTGAAGTTGAGCACCCTGATAGATTAGTTAGATTCATTTGATTATGTTAAGCCCTGCACCTTTTCACATGCTCTGCACTGAATAGCATGTTGGACAAAACACTATGTAAGACCTCCTTTGAGGGGGATTTGTACTTATCAGTTCCTATTATTCATTGCATTGCAGATTAGCTGGATGTAAGGGAACGTAGTTACTAATAGGACAAAGTGCTTCCCTTGTATGTTTGAATGGAAGTCTATGAGATGACAAATCACTTTATACACCAAACTAATTGGATGATGACTTAAGTGCGGAGGAATTAAGCCAGCTGGAAGAAGTCCGGGATTACAAGGAGAGACCATTCACCCCGATATCCACCCTTTGTGGGGGACAAAGCAAAGCCGGAGGCTGAGAACAAAGTAAGCTTCTTAATGTGTGTGAATAGTGGCGAAACAAATTTAGACTACATGGACGCAAGTAAAGGAGCTGAGGCTACAAATCCTGTCATTCAGCTCTCTGATAACATCATCAACCACACTGACACACACTGACACTCCTGCTCTGTCTAAAAACTTCATCTACAAGGCTGGGGTAGAACAATTATCCTCTGACTAACCTAATTTGAAGCATCAGCTAGTTTTTAAGGGAGCATATAAAAAGTGAAGCCCGTCGGAACTGAAGCTACTGACCACCACCTTCCAATAATGGGCCATAGCACCACATATACTCTGCCATTCAAAAGCTTCTAATCAATCTTTTTTGTAATTTTGTATACAGAAATAACTTAAACAGCGTAGATTGAAATATGAAACTAATCTAGTTATTTTTAAATTGTTTATTTAATATATCAAATATCTGGGAACACCAAAATTATTTAAATTATAGGTCTTTTACATTCATGGCATTTGGAAGATGCTTTTGTCCACAGTGTCTTACAATTAAATCTTGTTAGTGAAGTAAGTGCATGTAGCATTAGGAGTCTTGCCCAACAACTTTTGAATATAGTATGGTGTGCTTGCCCAGGTGGGAAATCTTGTTATTTTCAATTTATGATATTTTGATATTAAGATAACTTATCTGCTGTGTTACTTGTTTGCCACTTGTTAACTATGATAAATTCTAGATATTCATTTTTTTAGTACTTCATTCTTAATGTTTAACTAGATGTTTATTTTAGAAACATCTACAATTTTAAACTGTGAATTGTGAAGTTATTAAAGACTAGCACCACATTAGAGCCTGCATCAGCAACAAATTTGTAATTCCAAACCTTTGAATGTTGATTACAAAGTTTTGAATGCTGGAGTAATTATTTAAAAAGGTGATATTAATATTTAGCTAAGATATTGCTATAATATATGTATTAATTCAAGTTAATGTATATTAAAAGTAGACACAATAGAAATAGCATATTGTACTATATTGATACATGGTTGTAATCAAATTTTTGTCAAATGTTTTTATTGATTTACTCAGTGTAAATAAGTTAATACATCCACTACAGAGAACACTGCACATTTTAAGACACAAATGTGGAATTTAACAATTTGAAAGAACAAATAAAACATAAATGTGTCCTTAGCAAACATCAGCACATTTAACAAGTTTTATTTTTGCCAATAGGTTAAATTTACCAAATAAATAAAAATTGTGCATTACAATGTGCAGAAAAATGCCATATTTAAGTTCCCTTTGATGTTAACATGTTTACACTTGGAAAATCAACAAAATATGTCATTTGTCCGGGGGGTACCACTGTAAACTATAATTTGCCTTGCAATTTGCTTTGCATTATATTGAAAAAATATTCATGAAACCTTGATGTGGCAAGATTCAAGACTGGCCTGAATTGCTTTCACCAACATTCAGACCTAATGAACTGCTTGTTTCCTTTATGTCCATAGAAACTGATCTGGATCATGTGTGATTAGTGCTTCCTGCCCAAACATAAATAAGTAAATAAATACAACAGTGAAAAATTAGTTAGATAGCTCATTTGCATCCTTCTGCAATATCGGTAATGTGAAAACTAAAAATGCCCAAATGATTAACAAACAATACATTTTTGCAGCCCTAATTACTAATTTGTAATTAATTATTAGGTATTAAAACAAATGGTTAAACTGTTATCAGGTAACATTGGAAGTATACAGCAGTTAAACATGGAAAGGTTTGACTGTTGATATCTAGGCTTGTAAACTTTCTAAAATCTTTTGGCCCTCTTCACCCATTCCCTTATTATTTAACATTTGCAGCCCCTTTCCCGTTTTTAACCATCTGTTTCAATACAGCTTCAATTTATCACAGCTTTATTTTTCTTTCATGTCAGCACATTCTCCTTGGCTCATTCAGCAGTTACAATCTTATAAATAAAGTTTCCTAAATGCCTTTTGGCTTGGACGTACGGTTCCAGGAAAAACCTCGAACCAGTATAGAACTATTTGAACATTACATGGAAGTTCATTAAACTTGAAAAGGGTTCTTCATGATCGTACATCTAATTTACAAAAGATGTTTCTTGAAAGAAGGCTTCTTTGGGTCCCTTGGGGTGTCCTCACCACAAAGAATCCATAGAAAACAAATAGTGCTCACTTCTCCTTCCCCATTATTGGCTCAAAACCTTAACAAAACATATAAAATGTTTAATAACACAAGAAGACCACTCATTAGGGCATTTTCTACCCATATTCTGTCTGTCAATACTATAAATGCACCATTTGAATAAACTATAAGATATGCAGGTGTCTGATGGGGGAGCAGTCTTTTTCACTGCAATTGAAACTTTGGCATTGCATCCATCGGTAAAAGCCGTCATGAAGCTCCTTTAGTCAGTAAAGCTTGCCAGAGTTCCAGAGTTCCAAGGTTCCAAGTTCTCTATACTGTAGTGCAGTTCAGCTTTGGTCTCGTGCCTTGGCTGGAAAGACGGAGGAGACATCAGGCCTCCTTTCCAGCTGCGCCAGCTGCAAGGACGCTGAACTGGCTGAGCTGAGCTGAGTGCTCCTTCGCTTTGAGCCGCAGAGCTGCGATGCTGGAAGCACGGCGATCCACAGGCAAGGAAGAGGGAGATGGAGTCGAGGAAGAGGAGGACGGTGGTTCAGGGATGTGGGGGGGAGACTGAAGCAGACTCTCCATGGCTGGAAGGGGCAGTCTCTGCAGCGCCAGCGGAGTCATGCTAGTAAAGAACCTGAAAAGAAAGAGAGATGTTATTAGTTAGTCAGCAAAAAAAGACGAGGCCAAAATACAAGGAATTTAATTCAGAGTGATATACAGTGTTGCAGGAATACAAAAAGGCGATTTGAAGATCCTTTGAGGAGTTAAACTTTTTCACTTAAATACCAAAAATCAAATGTATACAATTTTCTTCTTCACTCAGTTGTCAATTAATCAGCCAAGGCATTTGATAAAAGGTTGTTTCTTTAGTTTTGCACTGGAGCCATGAGGCTAATGCAGCTAACAAGTAATGAAAGCTTATGCCCACCTGTTAGCATCGTGCAAACTGCATAGCTAAATCATCACAGATGTGTCTCAAACCACTTTAAGCTGCTAAGTAATCTCAAGTAGACTTGTTTATGTGGCTTCTGACACTGGATGACATGCTGTTATCTATAAAACTGGACAAACGTGCAGAGAAAATTCAGGTTTCAAGATGAATGCTACACTGTTTTAGCTAAGCAAGGTACCTTTGACTATTTCTTAGATAGCAGTATGTCATACATATACAGCTTATATTGGACACTACATAAGCAAGTCTGAAATTACTCAACAACTAAACTATAGCTACATTTGCCTTGTAGCTGTAGAAACTTCAGAGACCAAACATCAGCTACAAAGTGAGTGGATAGGTAAAGGGGGAAAACTGTGTACATTTGATTTCTGACCATTGCTTTAAAGCAGGAGCCACTATTTAATAGAAAATTACCAAACAGCGCTCACCTTCCAAATGTGGGCCCAATGAAGGCCGGGTGTCTGAACATGGCTGCCCCGAGCAGAGAGCTGATTCTGTGGGGGGAGGCGGGGCTGGAGAGGCTCTGAGTGAGTCCATGGAGGGAAGCAGGCCAGGCTGACTCCATGGCTGGATGTGGGGTGGGGGTGAACGGAGCCCCACTCAAATAATGGCACAGAGACTGTGCTGCAGTGATGGGTCCAGGGAAATGGAGACCCATCGGGTGGGCTTGGACCCCAGCCTTCTCTCTTTTTCTCCATTTTGCACGTCGGTTCTGGAACCAGACCTAGAGAGAGAATGTCTTATTCAGTCAGGTGTGAGTTTTAATGTTCGTCAGTTCCTTCAGTGAAGCACATCTAGATAATAGATTCTAATCAACACTGAATTCTTCAAAAAGTTAAAAGGAAACACAACAGGCTTGTTCATAAAGTGTTTCTACTTGTTTAAATTGATTAATCTGATTTAAATTGAGACAGAGGTTGATCAAATTGAAAGGGATGAGTATCACACTTGGGTGAGATGACTATTAATACGGCTTATATTCCATCTGCATAAATCTGTTCCAGTGATGAACACGTCAGAATTCACTAATCAAAATATAATCATTCACATTTATATATTTATTAATTTCTTCATTTAGCAGACACTTTCAAATGTTTCAAGGAACAGTGAAGAAATAAATAACCAAATAAACCCCAAAAATACTAGGCATTCACTCTGGTGTGTTTTTATGTGCAGAGTTGGGCACAATACTTTGAAATAGTTGTGAAGACTGAATACCTAAATAGTGAATACGCTGTCCTAAATATATTAAATTAGTACAAAGTAATGTTTGCAGAATAAATTCAGAATACATTTAGAATACAAATTGATAAAGTACATGGGAAAAATGTTCAAATCTTGCTGAATCATGCTGAAATCTGCATTTAATTCACACTGTTACTCGCTGTTACTGGTTGGCAGTTTTATTTATGTGATTCTTCTGATAATATGTTTCTTGAAAACTTTAATTATTCAAATTAAAATAAGAATTAATACAAATTTTTCAACATTATATTGTCTCTCATTACCTGCTTCTGTCCTCTGCTGCTCCCATAATTCCACTGCTCTTTCATAACCTAAGCCAACAATTCACCATATCCCAATAACAAAATATCACAAACTTGACTATAAAGTGTATAAAATGTAAAAAGAATACTGCCTTTACAAAATAGAACTGAATACAGAAACTGAATTTCTGTATTCTGAATATGTATCCCAAACACTTATATTTCATCACATCCCTGCCCTGTTTATGTGCGAAATGCTGACCTGAAATATGTGTAAAATATATTTTATTGCCTCTCTGTCACCAAGCACTCACAGCTTCAGTTTCAGTTTAGTGGTGTCCGTAAATTACCGCTTTTCCTTGGGATTCCATTTATTTCCGTTTAAATGAATTGATTTTCATATTATTCCGACAGTAAAAGAGTGTCAATACAGAGAAATGAGAAATGTGACTGACCTGCACGCGTGCCTCTGTCAGATCCAGCCTCATTGCTAACTCCTCTCTGAAAGAAAGAAAGAAAGAAAAAAAATAAAGAAAGAAAGAAAGAAAGAAAGCGTAAAGGGGGTAAATTAGTGAACTTGTTAAAGCTGTGGGTTTTCAGTGAGTTACATGTTTCTAACATTTATACACATTAATGCATTGTATTGGTTGAATGATTAAACTTTTATTACACTAGTTCTCCTCTCTGTAGCCCAGTCATCTGACTACTGTGCAATCATACATCTGACTGATGCGCCCTTTTGTTATGAGCGAACTGGAGGACGATTCACCCTCACAAAACTGACCCTCATTTCTGGACACCATAATGCCTTTTAACTTATTACCAGCAATAAATAAATAAATAAATAAATGAATGAATGAATGAATAATAGATTTTCAATTAATTACTTTTACAATCAGTGTCTCACATTTATCAAGCATCTCAGAGTAACATGACTAATCTAAAGTCATGTCATGGAGTGCATTGTAAAAGACATGAGCTGATCCCAAATCAGCATTCACTCTGAGAACTTTGATAAATATGGGCCAATGTTGGTCTTATTAACTGCAAACGCAACTTACAAACTCACAAATTCAGAAATTGGGCTGGAAAATGAAGAAACTAGACCCATAGAGACAAAATGATAATATGGCTGTGTTCCAATATGTGTGCACTTGACTAGACCGCTCAGCAAATATGTCGAAGTTATTACAGCTAGTGTGCAGAATTCTGGCCACCAAAACACTTGTAGCCACTACAGGACTTACTTACAGTCCTCATAGAGCACCGTCCTAAAGTCTGGGTGCTACAATACTTTTAGTAGAATTCTGTCCAGAATCCTTGTGTTTCAGCAAGAACTAGTGCACAGAATTGACAGCTGAAACACTCCCCTAAACCCTAACGCCTGGGTTCATACTAGAGCACTTAGCTAGAGCTTAGAAGAGAATTCTGGCTCATTAAATGGTTCCACAACAGCATCAGCAGTGCAGGTGGGTCAGTTGTGATGGGGGTCTCGTCGGACCCCTGATGTCTTCATTGGACTACTTATATTAATCTGATTTAGACCTATGACTCATCACTAGATACAATAACAAAGTATTTATACTTTACTAGCAACAACAAGTAAATAAGCAACTTGTGTTTTCTTTTTTGTTACTTATTTAAGATCATTTTCCTTTGGAGGTGTCCATTATTATTATTATTATTATTATTATTATTATTATTATTATTAGGGGCCCATAAGATCTTAGTTTCAGAACCACCAGCAGCCTATTTATTCAGCCCGAGTCCTACACGCCAGCTAGGTGCACTAGATCACAGTGCACACATATCGGGACGCGGCCCGTGTCTCGGCTCCGGTCTACCTTGTGAAGACGTCGGGGTAGTGTGTCTTCTGGAAGGCTCTCTCCAGCTCCTCCAGCTGGTAGCTGCTGAAAGTAGTCCTGTATCTTCTCTGCTTTCGTTTCAGCGTCCCGTCCTCGGCGTCACTGCCCGCCGACAAGCACGCGCCCTCCTCACCGTCCCTCAGCTTCACCTGCTCGTCCTCCAGGCTCTCCTCCTCGCGCCCCGGGGACGCGATACTCTCGCGCCACGCTCCGGGTCCGGCTGCGGCTCCGTCTCCAGACTCGCTCTTGCAGGTGGGACTTTGGAGGGGGCCGAGGTCGCGGTAGGATTTACTCCGGCTGATGCTGACCGGAGGCGCGTGGCTGATCTTCAAACTCTCGCGCGCGCTCTCCGCGAGCCTCTCGTCTTCTGGCTCGACTTCGTGCGCGTGAGCCGCGTGTAAGGGACTGAACGGGCGGCGCAGTTTTGGGGGGACGTGCATGTCCGGTGGAGGCGGGGAGCGTGTTTTTGGAGCTGCTGCACAGAGAGAAGAGAACCGTTAACTTCAGCTACAGTTAAATCGGTGACTCTTAAGTGTTCACTGGACTTAGATAAAGAGCGTACGCGTTAAAGGAGAATTCCACCAATTGTTCTGAATCTCTGAAGAATTCAGTCCTTGAGACTTACAGACTCGTGTTTCTTTACAGTGGTGGTGATAAAAAACAGAAATCACAAAATAGCCATTTTATTTACTATATAAAACCACCAGTGAACCTACACGAGTCTTGTTAGTTTTTATATGTAATGTTGATGATGGTAAAATAGTCATGAATCTGAAAAATGCGTCACAATGTATCCCTCCGCCACGAATGGGTTAAAATAACTAGAGTGAAATACATTTTCAGCCAACACTTTATCACAAAATTGTCATAAAACAATATCTCAGACGTCAGACAGCATATAGCTAACCACGTCGTGTGTTAAATATCTGTAAGGGAGCTTTTAAAGGTGGACATCTGGTTCGTATTACCACCACTGTGAACAGTTCTGACTCTCTAAGTTTCTCCAGAACAGAGCATTTCACACCAAATCACTCTGAATTACTTTTTTGACATCTCCGCCATTTAATTAGGTAGAATTTATGAAAATCCGGCGGAGTTTCCCTTTAATTCAGCACTTTGTGTTAAATCCAGACTGCAGGTGTTATTTCAATATTAGGAGGATAAAAATAATCTCCAGTGGTGTCTCATCATTTCAGTGTAGTCCAGGACTGTAATCCGTGTGAGTGTCGGGTTATTTTTGGATGCAGGATGTGTAAAAGTTGTCTAAAGCGCTCCGGACTGATACTCACCTGGGCCTGAGGCGGCGCGCTCCTCCTCTCTCAGCGGCGCCGACACGCTCTGCTTTCCCAGCAGTCTGACTGTGAGGGGGCTTCTCCTGCCCAGAATGCTCTCGATGCAGTAGGAGGAGAACAGAGTCGGCGATCTCCACTTGCAGTCTGCCTGGTCGCGGAGCTCATCTTCTGCCTGAGCGCTCATACTCATGTCTGAGGGGCTCATGGGGGGCTGTGACAGTGGCTCTCTCACTCCCTTATGGACTTGTTGCCTGCGCTGCAGCCCCCCTGTTCACTCTGACATTTGTAGGCTACTGATGTTTGAGCCTCGCAGGCTCTTCGTCTGATTGGACGACCAAAGAAAGGCTGGACGCCATCAGCTGGACGCAGAGACCCGGTCAGCATTCATCAGTCCGGCTTCTACTTCCCCCCTTACTGTGATACCAACCAGAACTCAACAGAGCACAGAAGTTCAGAGACACGTGTCAGACTCCGAGGGTGACTCTTATATCTGACTTTTATACGGCTGAAGGGAAAACTCTATTTAGTTTTCCATCTTTTGTTTCTCTGTACCCACCTGTTCCCTCATCCGGACATTTATCAAGCATGAAAACATTAAGCTGTCTCTCCAGTATAGACTTAAAATCATTAAACATGATTCTCACCCTGTAAAACCAATTTGTTCCATTTATTCATTTGTCCAGACATCATTCATTCATTCATCCACCCATTTTGTCAGTCAGTCAATTCACTGGCTTTAAGAAGATCACACTGCCAAACATTTTAAAACTGTATTTTAATGATAAACAAACAATTATTCTAATATGATATAACTCTAGTTTTCATGTTTCAAAAAACTTAAAAGTAAAAAGCTGTAGTGAATTAAAGAAAGAAACAAAATAATAATAATAAAAAATAATTAGATGCATCCACAATTATCAGAAATGATGCTTCACCAGAAAAACAACAACATTGAAGATATAATAAATTTAACATCCAGAATTTCTTTACTTTGTAATTTGAACTTGCTAATACATTAACTTTTACTTCAGTATCACAGCCTACACTAAGTTCTTGCCCAAAAACACTCGAGACGCTTGTGAGTTATTGCCAAATAAAATAAGAACATTAACAGAAGAAAGTGATCAAAATGTTTTGCGGTGCTGAATGTGGCTCAGCGCCAATGTGAACGTGAGGCCCGCGCGCCCCCTGCTGTACAAACAGAGATATTGCAACCCCAAACTCGTCTTTCTTTCTCATCTTTCAACAGGCAGTGAAAGAAAGAAAGAAAGAAAAAAAGAAAGAAAGACTAACATACGTAACTATGGAAGGGTGGACTTTTAATAATATTATTCAACTGCAGACTTCAATTATGAAGCTTTTGATTAGAGTGTGGACTCGCGACTCGTCATTTTCAAATGTAGTGATTTTTGTCTGTATTCGTTTGTGGGCTAAAATAATGAAACAGTTTGTCATTTTCATCTCTGCTCTGCAACGAAGCGCGTACGAATTATTGGTGCATATAAAATACGAGGCCAACAGCAGCGCGTTTAAAACTAAAACTCCACAACAATTCATCACAAATTAGCTGTTTCCAATAAACTGCTGCGCGCGTTTTCAGAGAAGCCCCGCCCCCCTGTGCTGGGATTGGTTAGTAGGCAGCTTGTGAGATGGTCTATTAGCCAATCCTAGCGCAGGAGGCGGGGTTATGTCAGAATACATGCGGGGGAAAAAAAACGCTGTCAGGTCCCGTGACCATGGTAACAGTACACACAAGCCATATTAACAAACAAAGTAAGCAGAGTGGGAGATGGCAGCATACGAGTTAGCAGAGGAGTCGGTTGATGGGCCGTACTATCTCGAGAAAGTCTCCATTCCAGAGGATTCCGAGGATGGGTTTGAGTATGAGGAGATTACTGTCGAAGAAGAGGGTGTAACTGAAGGAGAAGAGGATTTGGAAGCGGCAGTTAAAGCATTACGAGACCGCATTGAAGCCTCTGAGTCTGTACCCTTGACAGAGCGGCTAGGCTCGGCCAAGCAGCCAGTAACCCACATCCCTGAAGTGGTGGACGATTTTCTCCGCAACTTTCTTGTTAAAATGGGTATGAGCAGAACGCTGGATTGCTTCCAAACAGAGTGGTTTGAGATGCTACAAAAAGGCAAGCTCAAAACAGACGAGGTGGGGTTCGTACCTGACCTCTACACCCACAACCAGCTCCTAGATAACGAGCTGAAAAATGTGCAAAGAGAGCGAGACAGCTATAAGCAGGCCGCACTGCAAGCTGGAGAGACCATTGTAAAGCTTCAAAAGGAGAGGGACTTCCATCGCCTGCAGCATAAGCGTGTGGTCCAAGAGAAGAACAGGCTGATCGAGGACATTAAACGGCTAAAGAAACACTATGCATCCTATGAACCTGCTCTGAGACAACTGAAAGAGAAGTACCAGACAGCTCTGAGGCAGAAGATGCTGGTCAGTATTGAAAGGGACAGAGTCATTGGACAAGTTCACAACCTGGACAGCACCTTACGTAATGCACACTCCTCACCAGGGACTCGCAGAGGACCCACAGAGTCTCAAAAAGGACTAGAGAAGCTCCAGCGCAGTCCAGAGCAAAGTACCAGACCATCAGGTGATGGGGTAGCTCTTTATAACCCTACCAAAGATCCAACCAAGACCATTACTAAACATCCAAAGGACTCTGAGTTCCCTGCTGGCACACACATTAATCCCTTCCTGCCCCAAATTAAAGCCCTGTCTGCTCAAAGCGCCAGAGTATCCAGCTTCTCCATGACCAGATCCCTCAAAGCTCATACTATGGCTGTGAGCTGTCTTGCGCTCCATCCTCGCAAATTTGTTGTGGCCTCTGCCAGTGATGATCACCTTTGGAGGCTTTGGGGGATGCCAGAAGGTGAGATGATAATGACCGGAGAGGGCCACACTGACTGGTTGTCTTCATGTAGTTTCCACCCCAGTGGGGCCTGTCTGGCCACCACCAGTGGTGACACCACAGTGAGGATCTGGGACTTTGCCAAAGGCCGCTGTGTGCTAACCCTGGAGGGCCACACACACGCCACCTGGGGGTGCTCATTCCACTCTTGTGGAGACTTTGTGGCCTCCTGCTCCATGGACAACACAGCCAAAGTCTGGGACCTGAACAGTGAGCGCTGCCGCTACACCCTGAGGGGCCATGTCGACTCTGTGAACAGCATCACATTCCTGCCCTTTTCCAACATTCTCCTCACCTCCTCTGCTGATAAGACCCTCTCTCTGTGGGATGCCCGCACTGGACTGTGTGCTCAGACCTTCTATGGCCACAAGCACTCATGCAACAGTGCGACCTTCAATGCTCTGGGAGACACCGTGGCTTCCTGTGACTCCTATGGTGTGGTGAAACTATGGGATGTGAGGAATGTGTCAGCCATGGTGACCGTGGATACCGGGCCACAGCCCAGCAACCAAGTGGTCTTCAGTCCAAATGGACAGGTGCTGGCAGTCGCGAGTAACGATGGCTCAGTGAAGCTGGTGCAAGTGGCATCTTTGCACATGTCCAGTCTGTTAGGGCACAATGATGCTGTTCAGAGTGTCATTTTTGACCATAAAGGAGAATATTTACTATCTTCAGGCTCTGATGGTGAAATCTTCATCTGGTCATAATATTTGAAATGCTACAAATTGATAAAAGTAGATTTATAGGCCATGTATAATATAGACTGTTGTATAAATGCACAATTCACAAATTCAGTCGTGTGCCATAAATGATCAAAATATGATATAATTGCATATAATAAAACATATGTCCAATCATTGTAAAAACAGAAAACCAGAGCTATATAAATCTTACCTGTATGGAATGTCTGCTGTTAAATATATAATAAAATGTACTGAACCAAGTAACTGTTTCTCCTCCTTTTTACTAGGATTATCTGAATAGTGTATTTTAATTATACTGCAGCAGCCATATAAAATAAAGATTTCAAACATGTTTCCTTATCGTTTTTATTTATTTAAGCTGATGTCCAACTTTGACAACTGTTTAAAAAAATACAATGAAAACAAAAAACAAACATTTACAAAATTGCAACAAGACCTGCTATCAGGCCCGTTTCCTGCTGTAAGTGGTACAAGCAGTCGCTTATGGCCCCCAAGCTACAAGTGGCCCCAAGAGTATGCAGTTGTTTTTTGTTAATACTGTCTACTACTGTCTAATATTGTCAGAAACTATTATGAAGACATCACTGACAACTTTGCTTAAAAAATAAAATCAAGAAAGCAGAAGTGAGGCACCATTCTAACACACTTTTTTTAACTTTATTTTTCATTTATATAGAACATTTTGTTGTTTGAAGCTTCTATTTATGCATTCATTAAACATCTGACAAAACTGAATTTTATCAATTCAAATCTATTTTCACCATTCCACACAAAATAATGTCACAAGGTTTGGGGCTAAGGGTGGGTGATATGGCAAAATGCAATATCAAGACACTTCAAGGTTTTTTGCAAAACATGATGTGTCATTTTTTTTTTTTTTGACGTGATAAGTAAGAATAGACAGAACAGTGCTACATTTGAAAGATACCATCAAAAGCTATGTATCCAATTGTATCCAACACACACTGTGCTGCACTAAATCTGCAGTTCTTAAGTTATTTTTAAGTATTTTAAGTATCCACGATGTGATCAGAAAAGCTTATTGTGAGATACTGTGGTGTAATTTATTTATTTTATTTAATATTGCCCAGCTCTAGTGGGGGCCCCTCGAGCCGATGTCGTTTAGGGCCCCTAAATGTTTTAGAAAGACTGTACTGTGACAGTGAAGCTGCTCTCCTCACTACCAGATGGCGCCTGCCCTGATTACAGGAGCGGTTTACGCAGGAAGTGCGTAGAACTGCAAAAGCAAAACACACACACGCCCCTCAGCAAACGCGGGACTTGTGGTTTAGCAGTGCAGCTAAAAAGACACACTAGAAAAACACAACCAGCTGTCAGTGCTGTACGTCACTGCGTGTTTATTTATGATTCTTTCACTAATGCATGCTCTCGTTTAAAACTGTACGCAGTTGCTAAGTTAATTTAGCTCGCAGTGAAACAGCAGCCAGTTCTATGTGAGCACGGACTGCAAATGGCCTAACAGCGGAGCGTTTCTCTGGTCTCAGTCAGGTTATCACTGCAGGCATGTTTAAGAGTGTAGGGAAGCTCTTCGGGATGCGGCGGAAAGCCGAGCAGCCCAAGTCCCGCATCGACCGGAGGAAGACTCGGGTGAACATGCTGGATCAGCTGCTGGACGACAGCGACGAAGGGTCGTACCACAGCACCACCAGCGTGAGCTCGGAGAGCGAGTACAGAGAGTCCGACGACGACGGCTCGTACGGCTCGGACAGCTCCTACCGGCCTAAGCGAGGAAGCGGCAGAGAGGAGGAGGAGGAGGAGAGCGGGAGCGGCAGCAGCAGCAGCAGCGAGGCGGGAGGGAAGAGCGCCGTGTCCCGCGGGCGGAGGAGGAAGAGAGCGGCCAGCGCCGCGGCTCTGGAGGACGACTCGAGCGAGTCCAGCGACAGCGACAGCGACGTGGGAACCGAGCCTCGCCGAAAAGCGCAGCAGAAAAAACGCCTGAAGCTTCCCGACTCCGAGGACGAAGCTCTGAAGGAGAAGAAGCGAGAGTCGGAGCTGAAGGAAGCCAGAGAAGCAGCTGCGAAGAGGAGAGAGAGAAAGAATAAACTGATGGAGCTCGCGCGCAGGAGGAAGACAGTCACTCCGCGGCGCAGGCGCAGAACGGCGGTAAGAGCTGACATTCAGTTTGTACACCGATCAGCCCTAAGATTAAAACTACCTCTTTGGTTTTACACTCTCTGTCTATTTTATCAGGTCCCCTTACGATATAGGTGCACTTTGTAGTTCTACAGTTACAGACTGTAGTCCAGCTGTTTCTCTGCATATTTTGTTAGCTCCCTTTTACCTGTTCTTCAATGGTCAAGACCACCGCAGAACCCACAGAGCAGGTACTATTTGGATGGTGGATCATTCTCAGCACTGCAGTAACACTGATGTGGTGGTGGTGTGTTAGTGTATGTTGTGCTGGTCTAAATGGATCAGACACAGCAGTGCTGCTGGAGTTTTTAAACACCTCAGTGTCACTGCTGGGCTGAGAATAGACCACCAACCAAAAATATTCAGCCAGCAGTGTCCTGTGAGCAGCGTCCTGTGACCATAGAGGATGATTAAACAAACTGTGCAGCAGCGGATGAGCTATTGTCACTGACTTTACATCTACAAGGTGGACCAACAAGGTAGGAGTGTCTAATAGAGTGGACAGTGAGTGGACACAGGTGGAATGATCCACCACCTAAATAATACCTGCTCTGTGGTGGTCCTGACCACTGAAGAACAGGGTAACAGGAGTCTAACAAAGTATGCAGAGAAACAGATGGACAGAGTGCTCCTATATGGTAAGTGGAGCTGATACAATGGACAATGAGTGTAGAAAGAAGGTGGTGATTTTAGTGTTATGGCTGTTTGGTGCAGGACTCTGAAGCCATGTTACCATGGTGTAGTCGAGAAGGATTTCATTTTTTTCTCTATGTAGGAAAAATAATGGCGTTCTTCAAAGTCATGCCCAGGTCATTCTCAAAACAGCCTGAAAACATATCCATAGACATTTGAGTGTTATAGGCATCAGGCAAATAAAATTTTTCATATTATTTAGTAGAACAGTTGGAACACTAAAAGTTTGTGGAGTTCATTTTTCCATTTTAAAGTTTACCAGCATTTTTATCATTTTTTTCACATTTTTAATTAGAAAAAAATAGTGTGTATTACTTTCAATTGTTGAAACTCATACTTCAGTGTTTTCTTTGCAAACTGTAAGAATGTGAACCAAAACAACAAAACGGTGTGCGGCACAAGTGAAAAGAAAAAAAAGTGAATGGTAATGAGAGAAAATAACAAAACACTACATTTTGCGAAATATATATTTTTATAATTAGCTTTAAAATGCTTAGTCTGATGACAGCATAACGATTGTGAAGTTGTAAAAAAAAATCTTTTAGAGTTTAAAAAGATACATCTTCAAACCTTTCTGTGCTGTGGTAATAAGAATTTGTTCACTGAAGTTGTGAAATTGGAAGATGTTTCTGAAGTTCAATGTAAAATCAATTAAATAATTCAGGCTTACTTTACATTATGCAGCCAGACATCATTGATTGTATATCTAAAAAAATAAAACATTAAATTTGAGTCATTTTAAACATCCCAGTATTCGTCAAGTTGATGAGAATAACTTGCCCTGTGAACATTTATTCCTTCCAAATATTACTGGATCCTCAGAATTACAAGGTTGTTAATTAGTCCAAATATGAATAGCTTATCATATAGCTGTCATATAACAGTGTTAAGGGTGATGATGTACAGTAAATGTATCTTTCACTCCACATCATTTTAATGCGCATGAGTGTTTTCTTGCTTTTGTATTATGGATCTAACAATATTTGCATTTCAACTACTGAACAACCTCTTCAATTCAGAGGATCCACTAACATTCAGGGGGGGAAACTGTACACAGGACAAAACATATCAACTTTGAAACATTTTTGTTTACCACAGTGTGCGATAGCGGTGATTTTGGAGAACACCATAAATTTTTTTCTCATAGAGAAAGGCTGCTTAGACATAGTTTGTTACGTGGGCACGAAACATACTTCAGAGGTCTATTCCACCACTTGTTCCATCTCTGTTCCTGTTTAGGGTTCAGAAGAGGAGGAGGAGGAGGAAGAAGTTAAAGAAGACAAAGCTGAAGACAAAGAAAAAGCTGTAGATTCTGAAGACAGCTCCAGTGAGGAGGATGCTAACCCTCTGATGGACAGCAGTGAAGAGGAAAAACAGGCAGATAGTGACAGCTTGAAAGACTTCATCGTAGAGGAGGAAGAAAAGAAAGAGGGGGAGGAAGAGGAGGATGTGGGGGAACCAAAGGACAAGGACTTCCTCTCTCACCTTCCACGCCAGTGTAAGCCCTCTGGTTCAGAATGTAAAGGACAGGTCCCTGGTTTGTGTTCTGTTCACAGTGGTTACACGGATTATTTTCAGTGACAGTTTGATGTACAAACCTGTAATTAATTAATGAGCAGCCATTGTTTATCTATATAACTTCCTCAAAATACCCACTAGCTGCCTTTTGGGATTTCCACCATGCTAACAGAAGTGTACATTTGTTTTCCTACACTGGATCTAATACTGCATAAGATAGGTCTAGCCTAAACATTGATATCTATTTTTACTTTGAATCTTTGAGTAAATATTTCAACTTAAAGCCTCCAATGTTATTGGAGGAGCATGTTAACCCCTTACATGGTCAGGGCTCACCAGCAGGCCCAACGTTTTATTACACACTTCTATAACCTAAGAATAGCTCACACTTGCGTTTATGACCCTGTAGTTACTTAGTAATAAGCCTTAGTATGTAATAAGCCTGGGGTTTTAAGGGGTTAACCTGTTAGCATTCTGCTGAGCTTTGGTTTTTAGACAAAACCACACTGCTGTGTAGGGTATATTTACTTCATCGCATAATTTGTGATTTCCCACTATTGTGTGAATTATTAATGTTCATGTGCTCCACACTACATGTCATTTCTTCTCCAAGCGTATTTAATGGTCTAACTGGTCTAACAACTCATTCTTTGTTGTTTTTCATAGTCATCACTGGATCGCAGTTCACCCACTTTCAGGTGGTGGTCAAAGCTTTGTTGATCAACGCACTGGACGCATCCTTCCTCGAGTCTCTTTACAGTACGTTTCTGCTGTTATTTCCTCTCTTGTTCTGCTGGAAACAATGAAGGTGGTGCGTTCTGGCAAAAAGATTTGTTCTTCTAATTGATTTGTGTATCATTGCAGATGGTGAGCGGACGAAGCGTTATGCACAAGAGATGAAGTCGTCTTTGCACCACTTTGATGAGCGACTGGTGCTCCCACGATTAGAAAACCTGAAGCAGCGGAGCCGCTGGAAAGACCGCTACAAAGTAAGAAACACGCCTGCACAAAACACAGTTTTATTGTTTCAGCAATGAAAAGTTTGAGCAATGTGAGTTGTTCCCCATAAGGAGCGGGTGGAGTGTTATCCCAAAGTGCGGATTACCATGGTAAACACTCATACTAAAGGTTGCGAAGCCTGCGAGCTCCACAGACATGGCCGCTTCAATGTGCGTCTCTCTGGGCAGTTGTATCACTGCAACACCCTGCAAGAGGACCAGTTCATGCCCGATGACTCACAGGTAGCACCCGCTGATTTGTAATGACATTTGTTTGAGATTTGTTTAAGATTTTATTGCTTTGTTGCATTCAGAGCTGTGTTCTTCTGGAGTTTTAAAAACATTTAGAGAGTGGTGCTTTCTGAATGTTTTGTTCTGAAATGCTTTATTATGACCTAAGTATTGTGGTTTTTATTCCGAATAGCTTTCTTTGTAACTTAAGTTTCTAACAGAAAAAACATCTGTTTGTATTCCTGCAAACTGTAGAGTTTCTTTGTCGGCTCAGTGTGTGCCAGCCGTACAGAAGTGTACCACGCGCTGAAGCATTTCAAATACCATCTGTTTGAGCGCTGCCGCACTGCACTGGAGGCTCAGAAACAGGGAGAGGAACAGAAGGAGGAGGAAGAAGAAGACGAGCCTGTGAAGGACACAGTCAACAAGGTGTTCACTAAACTGCAGGAAGCAGGCTGGATTAATGAGGTGTGTGTATGAATAGAATGCAGAAAGAATCTTTTGTGTCCGTTTTTATTTCTTCAATGCACATACCATTAAAAGCGCACAGCTGGTGGCTTGGTCCAGTGGTGACATTTAATAAAAACCTAGCATATGGCAGAGCAATGTCGCATTGTCTAAAGCGTATGGCTTCAATCAAGTGAAGGGTAAAACAGTGTTGCCTGAAATGACATTGTGATTTATGAAGTTCTTGGAATCGTGATTTATGGAGTTCTTGTCCTAACAGTAAGCAAAGTGAGCAAGCAACAACGACAAAACTAGAACAGTCCCTTTATAATCAGTGAAGATGTCCACACCCTGCCCATTTCTATTTTGGATGCGTCACATCGCATCTTGCTGATTTTTCACCTCAACAAAAACAGATGAGGAGAAAATGATTAATGTAGGAGAAGTGAGTTGTATAAGTTGCAGGAGATTGCGAGTTTGATCCCCGGTGCTACTACAGCCATCCGTGGCCTGGAGTCCAAGTGTGCACGCTCTCTCTGGGTGGTAGGATGGCAGTTACAGAACTGGCAGTTAGCGTTCTTCTTCAAGCTTGTTCAGCTGTCCGTTTTTGAAAAGATGCAGTGGCTGGCCTCACATGACTCAGAGGAAGCTTGTGTTTGGCTTTACCCTACTAGCGCTGGTGGTATTGTGTGACTGGGGAGTCCTAACTAGTGGGTGGAACTGGATACGACTAAATTGGGGAGAAAATTGTTGGGGAAAAAAAAAAAGTTCGATTTGGAGCTATTAGCTGACAGGTCCATAGTTTGTTTTGACTTGATGCTCATACTACATTCACTTGCTCTTAATACAAGGTGTTAGGAGAATCTGTAGCTGTCTAAGTCACTGGTTTTGCTAACATCACTGGTTAAAGGTAAAAATATACATTAGATGACGGGTAACACCACTAAGGTCGAAGGGCCAAGCAGAGAAATATCTGATAGCATTTCACCTTTTTCCTCCTCAATCCCACTAGCATTTGTTTCATGCTAGGTTTTTTTTCACCTGTCAAGGGGGTCTTTGACTGTTTGCCATTAATATTTAAGATTTTAATAAATTAGATTATATTAAAGCATGAAAAGAAGCAGCATCAAGGTTGCTACTGCTCCTACAAATAACAATGGGCTTTAGCAACTGTTCTTAGGTAGAAATTTCTTCTTGGAACCCACTTCGGAATTGGGATAGATTAAAAATATGTCCTGACTGGTGGGCCCTGTGGACAGGTTTAAGGACCACAGACTACTGTATTCAAGCCCTGTGAGCTTATGGTGACTACTATTGCTTTACAGACATAAGCGAACTTAATTCTTGTTGCCTTTGGTCAGCAAAGATGCATGTAGGTCTCACATGTGCAGCCTAGTGACAACACGCATGTCTGAAATGATCTTGAATAGGAAGAATAGATGCATGTGCAATAATGTAAAGGGTAATGATGATAGTCTATGTCTGTGTCCAAAGCCGCAAACTACCATTCTAAAATAGTGCTCCACCACAATTAGTAGTGCATTCATTAATATAGTACAGGGCTGTGAGGATGTTTGATGTGGTCACCAGAAGTCACCCTATCCCCACCCCTTCCCCCTATTAGAGAACATATTTTACTATATATTTACTTAGTATTCTGTACTGTATAGCATTACTTACTATGTATTTAGTATGTTATATATAGGCCTATATGTTTAAAACTCAATATGAAATCTACCTACCTTCTTTACTTGAATAATATTTTGTCTTTTTGGTCCTTGATCCACAAACTTTGCACTTCAGTCTCCTAAGACAAAAAGTTTGGGCACCCCGGCGTAGTATAGTATAGTAGCATGTTTTTGATTGCATCATTTGATTGATTGTATGGAATGTTGTCACAGTGCCCACGATGGATGATCAAAAAAGATTGTCAGAGAGAATGGGATACAGTTTTCACTCCCTTCAGCCATGAACTTCCAGAGCACTTACTGTGCCCTCTGCTTGGATCAAGCTTGTTCAGCTGTCCGTTTTTGAAAAGATGCAGTGGTTAGCTTGACACGACTCAGAGGAAGCTTGTGTTTGGCTTTGCCCTCCTAGCGCTGGTGGTATTGTGTGACTGGGGAGTCCTAACTAGTGGGTGGAACTGGATACGACTAAATTGGGGAGAAAATTGAGAAAAAAAAAAAGTTGGATTTGGAGCTGTTAGCTAATAGGTTCATAGTTTGGCTTCATTTACTACATTTGAACGCTCACTTGCTATTAATACAAGGTATTATGAGAACCTGTAGCTGTCTAAGTCACTGGCTTTGCTAACATCACTGACAGGTAACACAGCTGACATTTAACACAACTAAGGTCGAAGGGCCAAGCAGAGAATTATTTGATAGCACTTCACCTTTTTCCTCCTCAATCCCACTATCATTTGTTTTCATGCTAGTACTTTTTTTAACCTGTCTTTGCCTATTTGCCATTAATATTTAAGATTCTACTAAATTAAATTATATTAAAGCATGAAAAGAAGCAGCATTAAGGTTGCCACTGCTCCTACAAATAACAACGGGCCTCATTCACTAACAATTCTTTGGAAGAAATTTTCTTGAAAGCCTCTTTCACAGCTTTCATGAAGATTCTGGTATTCACCAATGGGTTGAGTTTCTCAAGAACAAATTTAAGAAAAAACTTGGAAGAGAGTGGTGAATGAGGCCAAATGAATTAACCAGGGCTATAATTACCAGAGCTATACCAGAGAACCCCACAGGACCCCAGTGTATTATGTATAATATAGAAGCATATGTTTTTGATTGCAGCACTGATTGTATGGAATGTTGTCACAGTCACAGTAACCAGGATGCATGATCAAAAAAGTCTGTATAAGGGAGAATGAGATACAATTTTCGCTTCCTTCAGCCATGAACTTCCAGAGCACTTGCATGATCACGTTATAGATTTAGAAAGAGCATAATTGTTTGTGAGAAATGTGATCCTAGATCAAATTTGAGGTTAACCTGAAATCAAAATGAACCTTTTTTCTTATCTTGTTAGTTCAAGTCCCTGGTCAATTAAGCATGATTGACTGTACCATACCAAGGCAAATTCTTTTTTCCATTAAAATGCCCACCTCAAAAATGTTTTCTCACAGGTTAAAGGCCCTCCCTGATACCGTATTTCAATCAGAAATGTCACAGAGAGAAACGTATTCACGTTGACATTCATAATTATTTGTTGTATATTTTTCTGCATTGCCTCATACAAATGCTGCCTTTAGCGTGGTTTGTTATACTACAGTGCTCTCTTTTGTATGTTTTTCTTCAGTCATGTGATCATCTCTTTTCCTTCCATATAGCAATACGACGAGTTTGAAGAACACCTCAATGCCGCAGATTTCTTCCAAGAGGAGAAGCTGGACTAAGGGAATTGGACCTTAACTTTTATTTACATAACTATGCTTTTATTTCTGTAAATAGTTAAATACTGTAATTTTCAGTATTCTAATTACATTTCAAAACATAAATCTGTGTGGTGTTATACATTAACCTTTGTTAATCATATTAGATAGATACATTAAGTGTATCTATAAAAACATTTATATTTGACATTTTAATAAGCCTAGCTTATTGCTTTTGTATTTTGTGTTTTTAGTTTTAAGCATGTTGAGTGAATTTGTAAAAAAAAAAAAAAATGTTCTTTAAAACAATCAGTATATTCAAACCAGTAATAGTTCAAGAAAAATACAATATCCTGTACATTAAAGTTGCTCAAAAAAAGCATTCCTTGTTTCCATCTGATTTTCTGCATCCACTGAACCAGTTATGTTGTCGTTTCAGGTACAATAGCCCAAATATGAAGGTATGATTTGTTAAGGACTCTCTAGCTTTACGTTATGTGGTTTAAAGACTAAAACTCCCAACTAATGATGCGTCTAGAAGGTGGAAGGAACTTTTGAAAAACCATAACTGCCTAACATCATAATCACACGTTATTGCTGTCTCCAGTATGTATGCAATACAATCAGACTCACAATGCGTTAATCCACATGTGTCAGACTCCAGTCCTGGCGGGCTTACAGCTCTGCAGTTTAGTATTCCTCTTCTTTAAACGTGCCTGATTCAGCTCGTCAGCTAATTCACAAGGCCTTCAGGAGTTGGACTTTGATGTGTTAAAAGAGGGAAAGTGCTAATTTCTGCCAGAGTTCTGGCCCAGAAGGAACTCTGTTTGACACCCTGTGTTAATCTGTCTACTTACTCTGAGTGGGCTTTAAGAAAAAAAAATTGACCTATTTCTAAAAAAATACAGTCACTGCTGAAGTGCTACAGAAGTGTAAGAAGTTTCATTCTCAAACATCATAAACATATTTCGATTTTTATTAGAAACAGAACAAGCAAGCTCATCATAATCTAAAGGGACAAGTTGAAACCAGTCAGTGTGCTCACAAACTCACAGCAGCCCGAGTTTATACTCTGTCATAATATGAGGCTCTCCCATAAGCTCACACTGTGCAGGATCTGCAGAAAAAAAGCATAAACAGATTAGACATGAAAGCAAGAAAGTGAGACAGTTTGTTACTCCAGTTCCACTGAGGACTAGGGCCCCGTCCATACCTGCCATTATCATTTTTTGGGCGACATCATAAGTGGATAGAGCGTGGTACAAGGTGTGAATGTAATTGCACTGTGATCTGATCACTCAAAGCAGTTTTTGAGGTGATCAGGGATGCATACGACTGATTATAGTATAGTGCTTTGTATTGGTATCGGCTCCGATACTGGCACTTAATTACAGCATCGATAATAGAGAGCACAGATACCATGAACCAATTTCTGATGCACACACACCACGGAGTGACACCTGCATGCGTGCCAGTCGATAGAGCTTAACATGCTGGCAGCGTGGGATTATTTCATACTTGAAATCAGTACTAAAAACGTTCACTGCAAAATCTATAACACTAGTATTTCCAGGGGAGGCATGACCAGCAGGGATTTTAAAAAGGCATTTAAAGACAAATCATGCCAGAGAGTTCAGCAACTTTTTCTTCACCCCGAAAACATTCAAACCAACCAGTAAATGGCATTCAATCAAGTTTGTAACTCCCTCTGGGATTTTTCGTTCTTATTCATAGCTGAAACTCATCATGTGCGTTATACTCTTTCTCTGTCTAGTGTGCGCTCCGTCACGATAAAAAGACAAAACATTCTGAGAAACACGTTAAGTTTGTGGCACTCTCCGTTTTAGAAAACCTAATTTCATAAGTCATGCTTTAGAGGAAGTTAGGATCGGCAGATACTTGAGGAGCAGGTATTGGAAGGAAAAAAGTGGCTCTGGTGCATCACTAGACCATATAACATTTATACTGTGAATGCTACAGCATCCTGACGTGTTATCAACAGCATCAAAGGATCACATCAATCCACTGCCTCATCACAGCAGAGACAAGAGCAGCAGTATAGCTTGTTCCATTGTCTCCTCTCTCTTTTGTCTAGAAGTTACATTAGCAACCTATCTGATCTTTTTCTAACAGCTCTTATATTTATACAAACAAGAACTCCACAATACTTCTACTCTCAAAATCAGATTCTAAGTGATCACTGGAGATGCATGAAAATGGCAGGTGTAAACGACTACGCATCTCACTGGACACTTCAGATCAAAACACTCAAGCAGGTATGAACAGGGCCTTGCTTTCTAACTGCAGTAAGAATGGTCCACACCATCTCATTCAGATCAATAACAAGAAAAAATAAGACAATAAGGTAATATGAAATGAGTGAGCCATGATTAGACAGACATCATTCTTACCATTAAGAATGTCCTCAAAGCCAATGGTCTCATCACTGCCTCTGAGTGTGTCTAGAGCCAGGTTTGAGCTTGGCAGAAAGGGCAAACGCTGAATCTGAAAAATTATGGACATGTTTTAAGCTTGTGAAGTGCCAAAATTACAAACTGTCCAGCATCTGACCTTCCAGATTTTTTTTTCATAACAGTACACTCTCTTTCTAGTTATCAACTTTTTATTGGTACAGTATAAAATTCTGGTTGCAGTTATACTTGCTATTTGAACTACAGAATCCTTTTCAGTATACACTATTTATATTTAATGTACTGGATATAATGTGATGTAATGGAAAATTTAACGGTTCCCTACTTGTCTGGCTGCTCTGTACTCCATTTGTAATTTCAGTGGTGCATGGAGTCCTTGGATGTTCCTTAGTGTGGTGAAATTCATTTTGTCCTGGTTAAGCTGGAACTATGGGCACAAAACAGAAAAAAGCAATAAGACAATACAATTCACAAAAATTACACAAATTCACAAAATCATGTTATAAGTGTATCTAGATAATCACATATCTGATAAAGTAATTATATGTAGATTTAATAAACAACAGTATCTATGCTGAAAGTTTTCACAGTAAGAATATCTGGTTGCTACTGCAAAAAGCATGAACACACCAAGAGCTTTTTGAGCACAACATAAGGCAGCAAACTCACATTTTTCTCAGAAAGTTCCAGAGGATGACTTGGGAGAAGCTCATTTTTGACACTGGAGAACCTGAAGACACAACAGTGATCATGAATACATGTAAAAGAAAGTAAAGGCAATTTCAGATCTACTAACCGGTCTAAGACTAAATCATCCTTACCCTCTACGAAGTGTGTCTTGTACACCGTAAGGTCCTGCCTGCGGACAAAGACCTGCCACTGGGACACTGTCCTTTAGCTGTGAGCGAAGACCACGAGTGTTCTGTAAAAAGGACGAAACAATGTTAAACAGCACAAACTAATTTTTCCCAGAATTTGTCCAAAGTTGAAATCCCTGTTCCCTTTAACCAGAGTCCCATCAGAGAGAGCTGCTCGTGTTGCTTTAATTGTATGTGACATGGGGTTTGGTTCCGACGTTCATGCGGAGCGAAATTACTGGGTAGATCAGTTTAGCCGCCTTGATGCTGTTGGTCTTTCATTCCTCACGCTAAATATCCGGATGTAATATTAACGACTAGACTAAATTAAACTAAATTTGACCGAGTTAAATAAGATGCTACATGATATCGCGGACTGACCAGTACTAGCGAATTTAGTTTCTTCGCCTTATTTTTAACTCATATTCCTGTATTCCATGTTGTATTTGTAAAAAAAACATAATGAAATATAAATTTATACATGCTAAAGTTTAAAGATGCTTATGGAAACACGTCACTCCACAACAACCTACATTTATGGCTACACTGACATGTAAAAAAACAAATAAGAGTATTCTCTAGCTAACATTGCTATCCTTACAGATAAAATATATCCTTCCGCTTGTTATAATTTAGTTGTAATGTACTTTTTGACCAGTTTTCTGATATAATTTCTGTTTCGGTTTACACCGCGCTGCAAAACAGAAAGTTCTTAGCTAACAGCAACACAATGACGCATCACAAATAGCTAAAGCTAACACAGTACTGCTTAAACAACAGACCATTCATAAAACAACCTCTCAGAAACACGGTAGCAATGGAGTTTATGTACATTAATGTGATAAAATCTGAATGTAAACGTAACCAGCTGCACATTTCTCACAGTTTCCCAGTTAGCTCGACAGCTAACAGTACCAGTAACTAACGTTAGCTGATATGCTAAAGGCTAGCGGCTATTCGCGAACACTAAACACGAATAAAACGCGTTCGTCAGACACGTTAACACACATCTGATAAAATCAGCGCGAGGATAATCAGTAACACTAAATACATTATGACTAACGGTTAATTAATGATACCAAATCAGCCCAAGTTAAGTCGATATCACGGTACCATTTTCTGAGGAGTCCCTTCAAACAGTTCTGTGTTAAAGCGGTTTGGCAGCTTCCTGTTCGACTCCGGAATTACGATTATCATGTGGTGAAGATCTGTCGTCACATCTGGTCTGACGGCGATCTGTTCTTGCAGTTTTAAGTGCAGCTTTATCGTTGTTACATTTATAAAACAAAATGTCAGCCTTAATACTGTTGAAAGAATAAATGTATATTTTTAAAAAACCTATTGGCGGACAGAAAGGATTCATGTAGAAACAACTAGCTAACAGTGAACGGTGTCAGTCGTGAGGGGGTATAGCTCAGTGGTAGAGCATTTGACTGCAGATCAAGAGGTCCCCGGTTCAAATCCGGGTGCCCCCTCTTTTCTATCTAAACTTTTTGCCTCACTGATATTGAAAGGTGTTAGAAAGTTGGAAGACGTGTGTTTCTGACATCATCACAGAGACAGACAAGCCACTATTAAGCTGTGTCAAGTCATAGACTACAGTGATGACCCTCAGCTGGATGGTTTGAACACTTCTATTAAATGCCTTTCTCTGAAACAATATCAAGCAAAACATTTATTCAGCTAAAGCCACAATAGACTTAACTGGGACATGTGATAAAATGCAAGCCTACATTTAATAAAAATAATAATTAACTTCATAACTGTAAAGGACGTCTCATACAGGTAGCAGCTCAAAGTGCTTTTCAGACAGGTGACAACATTCAGTAACAACAACAACAAAAAAAAAATGAAATGGAGTGAATGAAAGAGTATTAAATAAAATAAACTGAGACATAAATCAAATGAAAAATATGAATAAAGGGGTAGAACTTTAATTAAAACCTAAACTGAAGAGATAACTTTTGAAATTTATCTCACAATAAGTGTACAGACTGCCTAATAAAGATGGAACTGAGTTTCACAGTTCAGGAACATAATAGCATAAAGAGGCCTCTCCACTTGTCTGTAATTTACAGGAGCTCTTTGCTCAAGGCCAGAATCTTCATGTGTTGGAATATAAACACACAGATGTTCTCTGACGTAACACAGGTGTTTTAAGGCTATTTAGAGCTTTAAAAATTAAAAGAACTTTAAAAAGAGCTTCCTTTTTTGTTTTTGTTAGAATCCATGCTGCTGGATCTAGTACAAGTTATAATGTTTTTTTTGGGAAGCCCAGTAAAAAGAGCATTACTACAATTAATTCTACTCATAACAAATGAATAAACAAGTGTTTAATTTAGGTCAGTGGCTCCCAGTGCTGAAGCTGTGTGTTTTCCTTACTTTAGCTCCTGACCCAGCACATGAGGAGCTTGTTATTTATTTAATGAGTTAAATCAGGTGAACTAGATGAGACAAAGCACAAAAAGGCCTTGGCTCACCTAGTATGGGGTCCAGAGGAGGGCAGTTGTGGACCCCTGATGTTCCTCTATTTAGGCCTATGTGTAAATAAGTAAATCTGTAAGTTCAATCTACACACTTAAAAAAGATGGTTCTTCAAGGGTTCTTTAGTAAAGACAATGGTTCTATATAGAACCATAAACTCTCAAAGAGCCCTCTGCCTGATTAAAGGGTTCTTTGCATTGTTAAAGGGTTTCTCAGATTGATGGAAATTGTCTATGTAGAACCTTTTTTAAAAAGGGTTCTATATAGCACCAAAAAGGGTTCTTTTATTGTTACAAGCTTGGCATCGTAACAATAGAAGAGCCTTTTTTGGTGCTATATAGAACCCTTTTCAAAAAGGTTCTATATAGAACCATCTACAGCACATTATCAATCAATCTGAAGAACCATTTCACCATGCATAGAACCATTTAATCATGCAAAGGGTTCTTTGAGTGTTCATGGCTCTATGTAGAACCATTTTCTTTACTAAAGAACCCTTAAAGAACCATCATTTTTAAGTGTGTACTGTGCATCACTTCGCTGTTGCAATGAATTGCACTTTTTCCAGCTGACTCTTACACTATTACCTTGGGCACATTTGACACCCTTCACCCACAGGAAGCTTACTGACATTGACTCAGTTGTCCCCCTGTTGTGGACATCAGCATTTTTTACATGGGACCAAAATGATTTATTATTATTTCTTGCTTCTTATGCTCTTGTTGCAAGTTGTTCAAATGAACTCTGGTAAGACTTTTGATTTTCCCTCTTTATAAAAGTTGTATTAGTTTTCTTTTTATTTATGATATATAGAAATGTCAAATCTTATGTAAGTAAAGTTGACATTGGTGATAGTAGATTAAAGTATTAAAGCTGGACATTAAAGTACATAAAAGTACATAATGATATAAAAAAATAATAATGCTTCTGTTACAGCAGAGCTTGTTCTGAACATCAGCGCTGCTGTCGGAGAAACTGCTGAACTCGCATGTAATGCAGAACCAAGACGCAGTTTGGACTCCTCACTGGTGCTAAAATGGTACCAGTGTCAAAACATCCAGGACTGTGAGCAGCTGATTGGTACTGTCACACCAACTTTGAAATGTCTATCGACCAAGTTAAGACGATTTCATTTTCCAGCAAGAAGTTCAGAGCACAGCACTTTCTCCATGGTCATCAGTGACCTACAGGAGGACGATGCTGGCTTCTACAAATGTGTTTTAAGCTCTCCGAAGCAAATCCTGACTACTCAAAAAGTCTATCTACAAATTAAACAGGGTAAGAAATCAACATTCAGTTTGTTCTTCTATTTTAGTCAGTAACTGGAGTCAATAACTTGAATGTGACTTTCTCCTTCTGTCTTCTTTAATAGACGTAATAGAAGGAGAAAGTCACATACATCATTCAATAAATAAATAAAGCTCTGAATGCAGTTATCAGTCAGTGGTGTTTATATATGTACTGAAAATGTGTGTAAATTTCTTGGCGAATGGACCAAAAGAAATGGCCCAAAATTGACTTACTGTGTATATATATATATATATATATATAATTATTGCAGTTTACTAAATGGTACTTAGTTCAATACTTATTGAAACAAGATATTATAAAGATATATATCAATACACTGGAACAATATATTTTAAATAATTACATTGTAAACATAATATTGTATATTGTAAATATAATATTAATTTATCTGATAATCTGATTAATTTTCCACTCTTTCCATTCTTACTTTATGATATACTCCCTTAACGTGTGTTTGGTATGTCTTTACTAACACTGTCTCAGATAAAGCCATTTAAGAGTGTGTTCAGTTCTAGGAACAAATGACTCCCAACTGATGACCACAACAGTGGAAACTACAAACACAAAAGAACGCGCATCTCCTACCACACTGAGCAGTTCAGTAGCTGAGAAGTCTCTCATTAGCATTGCTGTCGCAGTGTGGCTCAGTGTGACTGCATTGCTGCTCTTTCTCTGCCTGTTTGGGAGACACTTGTGTCTAAAATCAAGGTAATAGTCACTGACAGCCTTTTGTGTATATAAATATATTTACATTGTTTAAAAAATGAAAAAATGTATTCTAAATGTATTCCAAATGTGCAATATCAAAATCCTATCAAATGTTTTCAAAGAGTTTTTTGGTCAAATGCAGATAGAACCTTCTAATCCTAAGAACTCACTTTCTGCTTGGAATTATAAGGTTCTATCTTAGAAAACATGAAAAGAAGCAATGATTTTCAAGGAACATAAACAGGTTACTCATAATTTGTTTTAAAAGATAAAATTAGTGTTGTAGGAGAGTGTCTTCATTATCAGAAAGTGAAATTTAATGCCTTTTTTATGGCATTTATTTTTATTAACTTATTGACATGATGTACTTCATGTTTTAGGACAAATCATCTTTTTCTTATTCAAAAAAGCATTGCTGTCTAAGTATAAAGGTCAGTGCTAAATACTAAATTTTGTCCAGTGCAGAGGTCAGTTTTAGGTAGGTGTCCTTTAGGTTTCACAGCAACCAGCTACTGTAACGAACTGTCCCAGCAAGTAAGATTAACCAGTAGGCCGTATGAGGTTTTGTTTTATATCAGAAATGTGACTCTAGGGTTAGGCCAATATGTTTTACTTTGGGAGAAAGAAGGGAAAAAAGCTGGATGAATGAATGAAATTAATGTTTATGGTGTGATTAAGACCCCATCAACTCAAACATTCACCATTTAATTAACTTTGAGGCTTAATATTTATGAAATAATTTTAAAAATTATTTAAAAAAGGTTTTTCAAGAACTGCAAGGAGACAAGCAGAGTTTCAGCAACATGTTTTATATGTTATATATGTTTCACAGTTTTATAAACTTGGACATACAAATATACAAACTTAGAAACTATGACTACTGTTTATTTGCTGAATTTAATATTAGTAAAAAATCTACATAAAAAAATATAAAATGTGAAGCACATCTCACGTTTAATTTTTGATGGTGTTTAATTCTTATATACATATATATATATATATATATATATATATATATATATATACATATATATATAGCAGTAATCATATATTAAAATGTGTAGAAAGGTGATCTCTGTAGAGGATGTGTTACTCTCACTTAGAAAACTGTTGCATACAACTGTATGTGAAGGTTCTTCACACTCACCAGTCTCATTTACAGAAAAGTTTCTTTGAAGACCCATCCAGTGAAAGGCTCTTTAGGGAACTAAATGTGGTTCAGTGGGATTGTATCAAAGCACCTTCATGGTCTCTTTATTTTTAAGAATACATTTCAGTATATTTATTCTGTTTAAAAGCTAAACTGTAACATTTTGGATTTTATTTTATTTACATTTACATACTCTTAGTAATGTTTTTTAACATATATTTAAGGCAGTGCTATCAGTGCTCTGCATTTTTGTATTTCCTGCCTCCAAGACACCAGGCTCAGCTTATAAAGGAACTAAAACTTGCCTGATGATTGGAACCAAGTATGTCAGAACCTTGTAAATAAAAATGTGCAGTGCACAGGCTCCCTACCATCAGCACTGAGAACCATTTCTTTAAGCAGAACCTCACCAGCTTTTATGCTATGAACTACGTGTCCAAGCAGAAAATGGACACTGTTTCTGTGAAATGTCTGAGTTTCATTTCTCGCTAACGTTCATCTTTGAAGGCTGCCAGCGTCAGCCAGGCGGCCTGATGTGTTTCAGAGAACACAGGCGTATAGAGAAACCACTGCAGGACTCTACTCGACTGATCACCCACATCAAAGAATCAGAAGAGGTAACTGTTGCACTGCTGACGTTCAAAAACTGTCACTCTATTAAAGACACATTATAAGCAAATGACCTCTGTAGCTCTGTGTACCATATACGTAGTCATGCTGCTTTCAAGCAATGTCTTCAGAGCAATGTGTATATTTTATTTATTTTTCCCCCTGTGCTGTAGATGGACCTCAAACAGAAGCAGATGTGTATGAATCTCTATCAAGACCTTCAAGTGGTAAGCTTTGAATGGTGCATATAAAGAAAGGCCATGTTGCATGACTACACAGAGGAAAGATAGAGGATAGAGGACTATATGTATTTTCTTTTTGTCAATCTGTATATGGACCATTCTACTGAATTATTTCAAACAGCCTTCCCACAGTAAACAAAACTATATAAAAAAACAATGAATTATTCAGACCATACAATAAAAAATTAAACCCAAGACCTACATTTTTTTTTGATGTTGTTTTTAAAAAGATAATTTTCATGTCTTTTAAAGTGAAGTTGAAATATTTATATTTATCATCAGTTTATTTTTAATTAAAAATACATTTTAAGAAAATGCTGTCCTACATTTTTATGTCACTATCAAAACACAGTTTTAGTCTTATTTTGTTATAGATTCTTATTTTAGCCACACCCCTGCGTTCTAGAGCAGGAAGTGTGACTGCATCCCTGTCCCTCAAGGCCACATGATGAGCAGTAAGATCCCATTATTTTGAAGTAAATGTGTCCCAAAGTCTGAAAATCAGTGTGTAACATTAAGAATCGTCAATACTGAAACACATGCTTTCTGCAATTTAGTAAACGTTTTATGTTCTAAGAAAAAAGTACTATGATTTTATGTGTGTATGGCTGTTCAAAGCTGTGTTTGCTTGTACTGGCTAGCGTTTTTGAGTTCTGCTCAAAAATTGTCACTGCCGAAACAGTCACTACTGAAACATTTGTTTAAGTTTCAGTAGTGTTATGATTGGTTTCATAGTGACAAAATGGAATGTCTAGTGATTTATTTTAATACAATAGATATAAGTAAGATACAGTGTCACTCAAAGCAAAATGATTTTAGTCTAAAGTCCAAGTCAGTTAAAAGCCTGGAATGTGTTCTGAACTCCGACTTTGATCCAATTCAACAGAATGAGCCATATCAGCTGACTCTCTACTGCAAATGAGTTTGTTTTAGTAACTTTTTTGTTTTTTAAACAGATGACAACACAAAGGGAGCTGAAATTATCGAATTTTGAAACACTTCTATATGAAAAAAACAAAACAAAAAAAAACCCATAACTTATTGTGTGACATGCATACTCCTATGAAGAGGAGCTTGTGCCAAACTGAACTGCAATCACTACAATGCAAGCATGACATTACTTTTCTATAGTGGCATGCGGAACACATGCATTTAAAAATGAAATGCGGAATATTTGTGTCTGACTTGAAATGTTATCAATCCACTAAAGGGATGTAATGGATCTTGTACTGTTCATTTTGCTGCATCCTGCATGTCACTGATTAAATGCGATCTCATTTGTACATTGCATTTCACGTTTTTCACTGATATGAGTGCATTTCACAGTGGAACGTAATATAGTTGTGCCTTGGTTAAATTTCAAGGTGGATTGTTTTCAATTCTAACATGAATTTTGATTTTAAATGCAAATGCAGAAGAGGTACAAACAATGTAGTAGTGGCACTGCTTTCATTTTGAAACACGTTCTGTATGTCACATCGGAAAACTAATGTCATCTATGCACTGTATTTGACGTTTCTCCACTCTGGTGATTGCATTTCACTTTGGCAAGAATTCTTATTCTCTATATACTTTATTAGAATCACCAATCTTATATGTCCACCTTGCTGATATTAGTGACTACGTATCTGCCATCCACACATTGTGATTACTCTGGCAGCAGTGCTGTGCCTGATACACTTGTAGTAGCACAACACACTCAAGTCACTACCGAGACTGTGCTGAGAATGATCACTACCCAAGTAATAGTTAGTAGCTGTCCTGTCATGAATGGGCTACAGAGTGGCAACAAATGGTGCAGCAACAGATGGCCTACAGTTTGTAATATACCTATTTAGTGGATCTATAAGGTAAAGTGTCTAATGAAAGGAAGTACAGAGTAGGTGTTTCTAATAAAGTGAACATTGAGTGGTTATTAACAGTGCTTCTCTTTCTCCCACATAAAGATATCTACAGGAATCTGCGCTTTCACACTGAAGAAAATGGATGAAGATGGAATCAGAAGACATTTTTCCCCAAACCCAGAAAGCTGTTTATAGTCCAACTGTGTCCGATTTTAATTATAGAACCAAGTGAATGAAATATTAATGGAACATGAAAACTCACTGTAATTGACTGATGGTTTGTAAATGTGATTTGTAAATATAACAGAAGAGGAAGAACAAGAGGTTCAAGCAGTTTTATTGTCCCAACCCAAACCACTACAAGTGTAATCCAGTTTGGTACATCAGTGCGAAAAATACTATCAACTTAATATCAATAACAATAAAAAAACAACTCCAATTATACATGACATCCTATTTCTGTGCTAAATAACTGCAAATATATAAGAGGGAGATTTCTTTACAGAGAGTATAAAGAGCTACATGACCAGTTTAATGACAGTATCTCTGAAAAATTCTCTTGACAAGGCTTCTCAATGAACGAAGGTCTTACATGCTGGAAGTGTTTTCCATTCCTACAAGTTTCCACTGGTGTCTTAGCATTAAGGAGACCTGAGTTGGTTTGTCATATAACACAAGATTTTTTTAAGGGAAAGGAGCAGTTGCATATATAAGTTGTAGCATCACAACTTTTCCATAGTGCCATTCCAGTGGGCATACAAGTGGCTGAGTGACATCTCAAATCGACATGCGTGAAGGTCAAGTGCCCTCAGAAAGCCTATTTTATACATTCAGTTTGTGGAGGTGGAAAAGGTCAAGGTTTTTTACTTTGCCAAAGTACAATAGTTCAATATTCAGCGTTTTAGTTTTTGGTGTTTAACATGATTGTATCAAGTGTTTGACTCGTGCCAGCTACGGTTCATTATTGTAACATATCCAAGTTATTCCTTGGCCATAACCGGTAAATCTCTATAATTGGATTTTAAAGGTTCCCATTGCAAAGCCTTGCATTCTCAAGCATGTACAAAATCATGCAACTGTGCCTAAACTTCAGGGATAATTAGCAACAGAAATCTGATCAAACAATGCTTTCTTTGACCTTTATTCATTTTTGGAGATTTTTTCCCAATATCTGTAAGCAAGTTGAAAAAAACGTGTTCAAAACACTGTCTCCTCCAGAAATAGCACACGGGCCATACCACGGATTTGGTTGCAGTGGAACATTAAACGTGGTGTCAATCAACCTCTCATTGGCTGAGGGATATTTAGGAGTGTTCCATGTGATTAGTCTGATTTGCTATCTGAGGTGGCAATGTGTCAGAACAGCGGATGTCATCCTTTATAAAAGCAGGATGACAGTTATCAAGCCAACAGAAGCGAAAGCTCCTCTATTTGAACACGAGCCACTGTTTGAACACAAGAGAGGCCTAAACAGAAAATCTCTAACCTCTAAAACATTTATCATAGCAGAATTAGGTCGCTAGTCTATACATTGATACGTATCAAGAAGAAGTCACATACTGAGAATCAGTTCTGATGGACACATTATTGCACAATATCCTGTTGTTCCCAGGATTGATGCTCTACAGCAGTGGGATCTAGATCTTTTCTGGTGGTGGGATACATTTTTGCTAAATTTCTAACATTGGTGCAGGTAGTTGCAGTGCTGAAGTTGCCACTTGATCTACATTAATACCATTCTCAAGGTTTCTGTTCTAATAGGATTAAGACTTTCCTAGGGGAGTCATTAAAAAAAGACAACACTTATCTGGGTTGGTTGTCCCTCAACACGAGTGGAATGTGAGAGCACAGCACCTCAATGTTCTCCTGTAACAGATGTTCCACCAACCTGTAATCAGATATGTATATTCACACAAACACAGTACTTGCAGGAGAGACCGGTGTAGTCGGGTTTTTCCGTGTACTGTTAAGGTTGTCCTGGGGAAAGTAAACAGTTTTTTTAAACATAAAATGAAACCAAAAGCTGGCTTCAGATAACTGGATAATTCCTTTCGCTTTTCTCCTTCTCTTTTCTATTTTCATTCCTGTCCTCCTCATGCCACCCCCCCAAAACCCATCATGCCCTCCCCCAGCCCTCCCCTGAGCTCTGTTGCTAGGGCGCAGGCACCGCGGATGGTTTATTTCTGAACGTCTCAAAAAATGCCAGCATGCCCTTCTTTACACTAGAGGAGGCCATTTTAGGTGTCGTGTGTCCTTGGTGACAGGGCGGAAAGGTGGCACCGTCCATGGAGTTGGCGCGTTTGACTTTGGAGCCAGCTCGCCACATTTTCGACCTCAAGGGTGGGGTCTGAGCGACCAAGCACTTCTGGTACTGGACCTACAGAGGGCGCCAAACAAGCACAAAGACTTTACAGGGAAGCTACGGTTCTTCAGTGAGCCTAAGGTGTATATAATGGCACTTTAGCCAGGGGTGAAAAAAAGTACAGAGAAATTATACTTAATAAAAGTACGAGTACTTTGTCAAAATCTTACTCAATTACAATGTATGGAGCCAAAAATTATATTTCAGTAAGTATATAAAAGTAATTGTTTAAACAAATAAATTAAAAGTTTTCTTGCAAAGTGAAATTTTACAATGACGAATTTGGTTGGACATTTTAATAAAAATTGTTTTTACTCTTGGGAATGTAAATGAGTAAGAGTACTAATATTCAACTTCAGTAATACTCAACTAAAGTACAATTCTTCAAAAATAAAAATTAAATAATAATATGAAAGTATACAATTATTTAAGCATTTTCCACCCCGGCTGCAGCTACAATGTCTGTCAAATGTTTGGGGACACAAATGTATGTGGGATGGTTCTGCATAAAATCCAAGACCTAATACTTTAATCATACCAACGAAATTACTACATAATACTGCACTTATTTTGTGCAGGGCACCCTGAGCTTTTGTTACATCTTGGTTTAGCTAATATCAGCTGGCTATATCAGTTAGTTATTAGTACTGTGGAGAGACCACATTGTTCTGGATCAGTACTTCAAAATGGTTTAAATTCAGTGCCTCTCACCATGCATGCAGCCTGCACTGCCTCGGATATGATCCCAGCATCAGGTTCACACCAGAAGACGTGACACTCAAAGCGCTGTGTGCCGGCGTCCACTATCACTGCAAATGTGTGTGTGTCATGACCGACACCAAGAAAGGTCAAGTAGCGCACTTGGCATTCCCAGAAAGGGTCCTCACCATCCTGAAGAGAAGAATCCAAGAAAATAAGAGCACGAAAGAGCAACTAAGATGCTTTGTTCCTCAGATGACCTTGAAAAAGTCTAGTGTTTTTTAATCCTACTTCTGAGGATCCACTGTCATGCACAGTTTCAACTATTTCCTGCCCCAACATACCTAATCTAGCTAATAATTACACGAGCATCCTGACCAACAGTGGAATGGTTTGCAATTCTAGTCCTAAACTATCCTCCCTTCTAAAAAACACCTGATCTAGCTTATCAGGTCATTATCAATCCTTCCTGCACTGGATTAGGTGTGCTGGGGCAAGGAGGTCAGTGAGCCATTAAGGACACTAAACACCTGGCACAGGTGTTCTAGAAATTAGGTTAGAACAAAAATGTGGACCTATTTGATGTCTGGAACAGACTGTATGGCCCTAAAAAACAATGGCTTCTAAGCTTTGCTGCTTTACAAAACAATGTGTTTATTAAATCTACTGCTCTCCTAAACTCTGTGGTACTTGCCTCTCCTCTCCATAGAGACAGCAGTGTGTCTGACACACGGATGACAATGGGCTCCCACTCATCCCTGTCTCTGGAGTGCATGATGCTTTCAATGGCTCTGTTCAGCACCTCCATCCCTGCCAGGAACACAAATAAATAAATAATTAGAACTATATGACCCACACAGCCAAGCAAAAGCCTACAATCCTGAACAATTCTGTTAATCTTACTTGCTCTCTTGTATCTAAACTTGGGACAGGCTTTGAGTCTTGGTTCTTCTCAAAGTTTCTTCATGTTCTTAGAGAGTTTTCCTGCCACTGGCATCTTTGACAAGAGGGGTTGGTGGCAGAGAGCCGCTTTGCAACAGTTACTGTTGCAATAAGCACAATACAAATGAACTGAATTTAATTGAATTAAACAACGGAAACAGTACCATAGACAGTCTGACTGTTCATTGAACTGTGTGACTGTCAGTGCTTCTTTTTTATCTTTATGTTAAATGAAATAAGCACTCCAGGATGACTGATGTTTTTACACTGATGCAGATACTGTTTCCTTTATCAGTCACACTGGGATCCTGCTGTTTTTTTGTGGGCTTTTCTCAATATCTACAGTAATATCTGCATGGGATTTTTTTTAGGTTTTGCAATAAAGCTAGTAACTAGTAACCTAGTTAGTTTCTGATAAAAAACAAGGGAGAAACACAATGGAAATTAAGTCCCTCTGAGAAACGGGAACATACAGACAGACAGAGTTTTCAGTATTTTATATTAAAATAAGGTAATGAAGCTGCTTATATGCGAAACAAGCACCGTATTTCTACAGCCAAATATTCAGGAAAGATGGGGAAAAGAAGTAAAATAAAGTACTCTTAAACTTATTTTGGCAGAAGATCCAGTAGCTCCGTGTGCCTCTGAAGTAGGCTTGGGTGTGTTTTTAGTGTTAAAAAACTGGGATTAATGAATATACCGCTCTGCCCCCTGCCCAAACAGCATACAGTAGGGGTGCGGGAAAAAACGCTTCTTAGATGCATCACGATGCGGACATGAACGATTCTGAATCGAATCACAAATGTCAAAAAACGATTTTCTAAATATTTAATTTCTAACGTAATGTTGACGGAACGCAAAAGGCGGAACTTGGAGGTGGGAAAGTGCAGCGCCCAGACACTCTGTGGCGGCACATAACAAATACACAACTGGATGCGCGAGAAATCCGACCGGCTCCCTCTGCATCAAAAGCCAGGTCAGGTCAGGAGTCACAACCCACATGATAAGAAGAGCCATTTTGTCCTTTCAACCTTTAGCTAGTTATAGCCGCTTTCCTCCCCTTTCCGCCAGAAAACGTTTCCTTAAAAGTAGAACAGTTTCTTGTAAAATGTCTCTCATCGTTCGACTGTTTTATGAGGCTGAAGTCGCTTCTCATTCTCCAGCTTCTTGTTTGAATTTTCCCGTTCCACCTTAAATTCTGCCTGAGGCGCTGAATGTAAATGCGGCAGCATTTAAGGTGGACCGGGAAAATTCGAAAGAGAAGCGACTCCATCTTTGCGACTTTTAGTGTTTGACAGTCTCTCGTTGCAGATTTAACGTACCAGGAAACCAACTGCACTGCTTATAAATGCAATAAGTCCATTCATCTCCAAATGTTCATCTTAAATCTGCGCCTTTTCGTTCGCTGCTAGCCAGGCAAGAATTTTTGCTGAGTGACCTGCAGTCTGCAGGCCAGTTCTCAGCCGTTGAGAACCAGGGCTTTCGCGCTATGTTGCACATGCCCTGTCTCGAAGATATTTTACTGACACAGAGATCCCACCGCTCTCTACAACGAGACCAAAACCGAAGTTATAAAATCAGTAAAGAAAACGAGTAGAATAGCTGTAATGTGCTGCATGGACATCTATTACCACTGGATCTTATGCCACCGTAACAGCGCATTTTATCGCAGATGAGTGGCAGCAGCGTCTCATGTGCTCCAAATAGCAGTGAATGAGAGCCTTCTAGTTCACTTGCCACATCACTTCCATTTGATTTATTAATAAAAGATATTGGACATAAATGCATTATGGATCATTACAAATACTTTGTTTTAAAACTACCAAGTCCTCAGACAGTAAGAAAATAGAGATCCTGTATAGCAAAAAAAGATGCATCAAGATGCATCGATAATCGCTTTATAATCACATCGCAGCCCTCTGAATCGTAATCGAATCGAATCGTGAGGTGCCTAGAGATTCCCACCCCTAGCATATAGCACGAGTGACTCACACTTACATAAATTGTGAAAGCACGATCTACACATTTAAATGTGGAAATAATATGGTGACGGGACAAAATTGTGAACACTTGCAAATGTTGTGAGCGTTGGGTGAAAATGCAAATTCCTAGAGGGACTGTTCAGACCAATTCTCTACCATTAGCAAACTGACAAACCTGCTGTCAGATCAGCACAATTGCCACCAGCACCAGCAGGAAGGAAGATATGGGAGGCTGTACCACAGCAGTGTCATTGAGCATGTAGGTCTTTATCTCCCATTTTGTCTGTACATGACCGTTGCTCAGAGACACACTGTGAGTCGTTACAGCATGGGCTATCCGCAGGGAGCATGATGGATGGCTCTGTTTAGCAGAGGCTGAGGAACGCTCTGTTGTTCTCTCTGAGTGCAGCCCACGCTGAGGCGGAGCCCAGGGACACAGTAATGCCACATTGACCCTGGGCGAAGCAGAGCTTCTCGCTGTGTGACCATGCATTTTTACTCAGGATAAAGAAAGCTCTGCCCAGTCTTTGTGCCCTAAACCATGTCTGTTCAATCTCTGAATATCACTTCCTTATCTTCTGCAGTTCTGCCCCGACTCTATTATCAGCACTGTAGGCTCCTAGCTCAAAGCGGCAGATTAGAAATGAGTTTTCATGGCTTAGTTCTGATCAGATTTAACACTGAATGAAAGGCTGAATTTAACCTCATGGCTAAATTTAAGCTCATGGTAAAGCATTCTCAAATGTGGACATATTTATTATGAAGGCTTGAGATTTTGAATGTGTCTAGACTCACCCATTGCTCTGTGCCTAGACTCACCCATTGCTCTGTGCCTAGACTCACCCATTGCTCTGGAGACAGGTAGATTCCCAATGTACTCCACGTCAAATTTCTGAACCCTCTGCCTCACTGCATCCAGGAAATTGACTTAAAAACACATAAAAGATAGCATGCATATGTGAGACAAGTGGACCATATGCTCAAACACACAAAAAAATAACCAAAACAATCATGTATTTAAATAGATTTACAATCCATATATCCAGATTATGAAGGCCTATTGTCTGAGCTTGGTACCTTGATGAGGTAGGTCCTCAGGGGAGATACTCTCCATTGTAACTGAGCGTGCCATAGATGGGTGGATCGCTGCTTTCTCTGCCATGATCTGAGAATGCATACAAAAAGCTAATAACTAGGTTGTGAGTTTTTCCTTCTCCTATAAATTAATTAAATATAAATTAATAAATTAATTTCAAATATATGAGGTTTTCACATACAGTAATAGTGAAGGTCTTTAAATAAAAATCTAATGATTTTTCAAAATTTCTGCATAACATGTAAACAGATTAATTTAGAGTGGTTTGATATGTCATGCTACAGAAACTTACCAAGCCAGAATTCTTTACGGTGGTAATAGGAATCAGAGTTCAGAAGTGTTTAATACCTCAAAAAGCAGGTCACAGAGAAAGCTGAGACAAAAGCATTGTCCTGAGACACTGTTTTTCAGTAGTTTTGAGATATGATTTGGGTCTTAAACATATCTTTTACAATATATTGTAAGGCAAAACAGTACCAAAATAAAACACATTTTTTAACATTTAATTTTTTTTACTGTTATGATCATCAACATTATATAGAAAAACTCACAAGACACTATCATAACCCCTGGCTCCTATCAACACCACTCCAACTCAGTTTCTCTATAATTAACCATTTCATTTCAAACCAATATAACTTTATTTACATCTCAACCACTGAATTATTCAGAAATTTTGAAAAATGCAATTCCCCTCTAAATTGAGACTATGTAGCCATTTTCAACACAGTGTTGAAATGAATAAGATGACTTTGGGGATCTAAATGTGTTTTTACAATCAAACATGACAAATCTACACTTTGTGCTGTCTTCAATCCTCCAGCTTCATCAAACCATTCAATTCATTGTGTTTCATGTGGAAGGCCTGACCCCTCATAATGAGCTTCACAAAAACAAGAAGCAAACCCTGACCTTGGAGCACATCTCGTGCAGGGCAGTGGCGATGGTCTTGGCAGGTGCGTTGCACCGGAACACGTGACACTTCAGCATGCAGGTGTCCTTATCACTGGCCACGAAGGCAAAATCCCTACAGTGGAATAACAGGCCAGAGCCGATACTCATCACTCCATATACACTCAGAGCTTCAGGAGAGACAAGTGGTGCCTAAACCCAACCCTGAAGATCTACTGCTCTGTGGAAACCCTAGTCTAACACACTTCCATCTACCACAAAGAAGCTGTAAAGGCTGATTAGCCGACTGTGTTAGAGGAGGGTTGGGTAGATCTTCAGGAGGAGAGCACCTCTGTCTAGACTTCTATGACCTACGTTCAAAGACTGATGAGACGTTAAAGACAGAGCCACAGATAGAGTAACAACTAATGAAAATAAAGGGATGTCAGCAAGCTATTTATGAGATGAATATGAAAACTGAGCGACTGCAATAAGAGGCCAACACTGATTCTTGCTAAAACTAAAAAGTAGTTCTCAGAATTGCTTTGTTTTTCAGTAAGATCCAGCATGTGGACATAAATATTTTTACAAGAATACGTTTGTTCTCCACTTTAGTGTTCACTATGATCCCCTAATCACTATTTACTAAAATGACTAAAAATAAAACTCAGGAGCACTGAAGTACACTAATGAACAGAAATGGTGTGCTAATCACTATCAGAAAATTAGGGACACTAGACAGGACATTATTATAGGGAAATTAATGTGTCAACGGTTTTGCACACCAATGTTATATGGCTTTGTTCATCGCTCTGCCATAGCAGTAACACTCTGTTGCATACGACAGTGCATTATGGGTATCCGCTAGGGCATACTACCTATCGTGGTGCATTGTGGGATTGTAAGAGTGCACCAGATATTCTTCACTACTGTGAAGAAGTACAGTACAGTGGAAAATGTATTTAATTTCCAATCCAAATGGGCATTAAGTACAAGTTATTCATTTTTTAGCATCACAAAATAAAACAGATGCCACAACAACTGAAAATAATATAAAATATTTCAGTATTTAATGTGTCCAGACGTTTATTACAGTTTCTGTTTATTCCAGGATACTTGCTTTAGTTTTTCAAAGAAATCTGCAACATAGAAGTTTTTTTTTTCTCAGTAACCGCTTCTTGACAGCTACACATCTTTTCAGACCCATAGTGTTGAGATATCTTCGCATAGTGGAAAGATGGACAGAAGCACCTGTGGATTTTTCAGATCTGAAGTGAAAGGTGTTTGATTTTCTTCTCTCTCTTTTAAAGATAAGATAAGATAAGAAAGCTGTTTATCTGATTGTGACAGTTTTGTTGTCTACCAAGCCATTTTCTGTATCTTTTAATAGTTTTGGATAATAATAATTTCCCAATAATAATTGGGAAAATCCTATCTTTGCACTTATTTTCCTTTGACCTTCCTTATGCAAGTGATTAGAAAGATTATCTTATATCTAATCTCCTCACAAATATCTCCTGAAAATGAATAATTTGTACATAATGACCATTAGACTGGAAGTTAAATAAAAGAAGGGTGGTCTTTGAATTTTGCACAGTACTGTATGTTTTTAGACACCACAACGAAATGGCAGACTCCAAAATGGTGCATAACAGAACACAGCCCAAGTCTATTGCGACACCATAAGGATGAAATTACACAGCTTCATCAGCATAATACAGAACCTCATTTCCAACAGATCTTTAAGGTCCTGATGAAACAGACTGAGCTGAAAGGAACTTACAGAAAACAAGCTATACAGTGATGCCTAACAGGCTCCATCACTCCGCTCTATGACACCTGATATTCACTGTGTGTCTTTACACTGACCTCCAGCTGCCTCCCCCCAGCTGATTGCAGACAGTAGGCTCAGATGTCTGAGTGCTATAAATAAAGAGGATCCATGCAGACAGACATGATGCTCAGCATTTCCCAAATACAATGTTCTGTCCCCCTCCTGTACTTAGTGAGAAAGCAGTGATAATCCAAAAATGGCTGTGGTTCTTTACCGACTGGTGTCTCCTCTATGATGCATGGATCTGAGAATGCTGTCTGGAATTGGATATTTTTGAAACTGCTGAAAATGTAGCGTGAGTAGTGCCTCATGTGGGTCACCGCCTGGGTCCACATGAGCATACTGCTGCTTGTGGAAGTCCAAGCACCAGCAGCTGTTCAATTATTAAGCGAAAACACTGAAGTTAAACAGTAAACAGAATAGCAAATGAATTCCTCTACTCAGCAGAGAGAAAAAGAGTGAGAAAGAGAGAGTGAGAGGGAGAATCCTCCTCTAGAACAGGCAGTGAGCCGTGGTGAAGGTCCTAAGATCTCAGGACAAAAACACTCCAGTCTCTGTCTATACTCCAGCTCATGCTAATTAGAGTCCCTCAGTTTTGTGTACCAGTTAACTGTGTGTAACTGTAACTCTGAAATGCCAGGCAGACATATGAATTGCCCCAACTTTGAAACTTGTATAATTAAATGCAGAATGAAAAATGATTTCAAACAACTCAAAGACAATCTAGACTGTATTTCTCTTTAAAATCATGAGTAAGTTTCATTGTTAATCTAGTGTTCAGACTAGGGATGTAAACAATTAATAGATTACTAATAGAAGCTGTTAAACCTAAAATAAACTGTTCAACCACTGCTATCGTTTAAAATAATGTTATTTAAATGTAGTTAATTTGCAGTAAACAACAGTTCCCACCTGAATAGGTGGGATTATCATTCAAATTGAGGAACATTGTTGAACTGTACACATAAGGGGAACAGCATTTGGTTCTGCTAGGCAAGCCAACTAAAAATAAAGCATGCAGCTATAAATAGTGGTGTTTGGGACCACTTTACGTGAGAACGACAGTACAACTTCAACAATGTACCATACTGAAAGTACATATCTGCAAGCAATAACACAGACAACTTTCCTACATGTTCTCCAAGAGAAAGTGTGATGAACAGCGTGTGAGGAAATCACACGTGTTCAAAGTTATAGAGAAGGATGTGGGGAAGTCGACGGCTTTCGAGACTTACTGAGGTATATTGGGACATATATGTATATTTAAGTCATTTTGTTAACTTTTTGGTTTTTGGTCATATAATCAATTATAATCATATAATCAAACAATGTATAGTTGTTAGCCGTTCAGTTTAACCAAACCAGGTTCTTACCTGGATGGCAGTGGTATTACCCACTACGCTACACCAAGTTTCTGCTTTTGATAAAAACAAAAGCTCATAGTTGAACTGCACTGAAAGTTTTCTTTTTTAATGAACATGTAAATCTTTTAAATTTCAGTGAAAATGCTCATCCAAAGCTACGGTCAGAAGTCCAAGTCATTTAAAAGTCAAGTATGATGGCAAGTAATTTCCTGCTGAAACCTTTTCGCCGAATGCCTTGTGTTCTGTTACTAAGTCAAGGGGGACCGTGAGAAATCCATGATTTAGAGACCCCTGTCTGCTTTTTCTGTTTGACTGATAACACTGAGTTAAAACTTTTGACCATGCTGTTGTCAGTACCCGAACATGTGAAGTGATGTCTGCAATATAATATAGCCTAATAAGTTAAGGTCACATTGTCTTGGAAATTTAGCTACTGCACCAGAACATTATAGCTGAGGAAAAGGCCATTCTTTTAAATTGCATTATATGCTCTGACAGCTGCTCTGTGTTGAGTCTATGTGTGAAGAACCATGCAGAAACTGTAGTGACTGTGCTTTATTCTACCACAAGCCCACAGTGTTTCTGCTGTGACTGCTGTTCAACAGTGTGAAGGCTATGGTTTGCAAATAATATGACTCATTTTTGCTGCACTGTATTACATAATGTGCCAGTAAAGTCTTTGTGTACATTTGGCAGAAATAAATGTAAAACCTTTCAACCTATACGGATATACATTCTGCTGCTTTCTCAGTTTCACAGGTTGTTTGATTGAAGCCAAAGAGGCTGAAAAGTTCATCACAGTTCACAACTATGAACACGTTGTTAAAAGTTCCAGTTCTGGTTGGGGTGTTTTTTTCTGTCTGACAGTTAATCGATGCCTTTTGTTTGGGTGTAAAGTGATAAGAGTAGGAAGTAAATATAGTAGATCTATTTCACATTGCCAGAACTGACCTTGATGTTTCTGACCTTTCTGCGTAACACACTCTGCCTGACCTTTTAATGCAACAAAGGACGATCAGCTGGACGTGACCCAGCAAGCTATACCGCTCTATCCAACTCAAAGCAAAGGCTTCTTCCCTTTCTGTTGTATTAAAACTTAATTTACACATCAGTGTGTCCTCTGTGTGGCTCTGTAGGGATTTAATCAATGTGGCTTGTAATTAAATCTGCATGGATTTGTCAGGATTCACTTCGGAGGAGGCCCAGTGGGACCTGGCCTAAAATGAATTACATCCTCAAAACATCACTCAATAATACTGACACTCTGATTGGTCTGTCAGGCCGGAGTCATTTGCATTTGAGGGGCAGCAGCACTGAATGACGTGCATTTGCTGGTAGGCAAGAGCATCAAGGATTGGGAATTGGGACATGGAGGTTTTTCTCTGAAATTCATTGCAGGAAAGGTTCACTGGGGCATGCACAGGAAAGAGAAGGAAAGAACCAACACCACCATTCTAATTCCCACTTGACTGGCACTCGGACAAGCAAAGGTACATGAATTAAAGCATGACGGTAAGAAAATGAAAGAATTCTACAAGGCCATGAAATACAACAGAACTACTGAGCCCCACACTAGGCTACGTGATATGCAAGCTTGCAATCCCACAAATGACATGTTCACTTGATCTGGTTAAGAAAGAAAAAGGTGCAGTAATTACCTGTCTCTGTACTCACGAGTGGCGGTTTAAAAAAAAGGAAAAGAAAGTTAATTGTTAAGAATGACGGGAAAAATAAGCAGAAACTGATTGATCTAGCTACGCTTGATCTACTTGATTCAAATCATAATACATAATTTCCCTCTGAATAAAATATATTACATCAACACAGTTTTGTATTTTGGTTTACTCACTGTTGGGAATAAATGTGTTGACATGATGACATGATGATGATCAATGCATCAATTTGTCAGGGTATGCAATTACTTTGCCCTATTGCTATTATATGGAGTCCCATATACTAAAAATGTAACACAATTTTCCAGGCATATGAATCAAAGCCAAGTAAAAGCAGGTTAAGTGGGTCTGGATGATAAATATCAGGCAGGCTATGTGGCTCGTTTTTTTCCTGGAAACACTGGTGAGTGTGACCAAAAATAGCAGTACTCTGATTCACATGAGCACCTAATGTAACAGTCTGATCACATTGTCAGCTGGCCCAAAGAGCTGTGGTGACACAAGCAGGTCTGCAATCAAGGACCCTCTTGTTCCCACAATGAATGCCCTTCATCTGCACTCTACTATTGAAACAGGAAAACTGTCTTATAAATGCTTCAAGTCTACAGCCATGGGGGGCTTACTTTTCAGTTCTGTTTCTGTAAATAAATAGACCTAAGAGAACTTTGAGATTTTTTTTTAATATATGGAAGTTTGACAGCAGTAACACTGACACAAAAACAAGGACTGAAATTAAAGAAATAATAAAAGCCAAAAGTGTGAGTTAGTAGCAGAGAAGGCAAATGAGCAGAGGAAAAGAAGAAATGGTAAAAAGAAAGATAGGAACAAATGAAGATCTACCTACAGTACTGACCTGCCACTGTTGCAGCCCACCCCCCACACTCGGATGTTGATGATGGGCTGGCAATGGATGAGACTGCGGTCTACAGGGTCCAGGAGGCTGAGTGTGTCCTTCTTCAGAACCATCATCATATCCTGACCCTTATCATGCGCACAAACAGAGGCATACATACATACATTTTTCAAAAGTCTCTAGAATGTGTCTGAAACGACAACTGAAGTCTTACCCATTACATTCAATCACAATCAACACGTTCATATTAAATATGTTCATATTAAATTCTAAATACAAGTGCATATTAAATACGACCTGTTTGGTCAGACATGGAGCTAACCAGACAAATCAGATTTTGTTGCAATTCATGAACTGTAACCACCATGATGGTTAATGTGGCGGTGTGGTGACTTTGCTGGTCCCCCTGTCAAGTTGGTCTGCCTGGCATCATAGATGCTGGTCTGAGGTCTAAAGTTTGCTAAAATCACTATAAAATATGGTCTTACGAAAATAAGTTGTTCAATAAACTGGAAGTAACTAAACAGTACTTAATAACATAACCTGCACTGGATGACATCGGGGTAGACCAGCTCAGTGGGGGGACCACCGTGGTCACCACAATAGCAATGTTCTTATTAATGTAAAGTTTTTAATAAATATTTCTTTTTTCAAAGCAACACCTGGCTGGTTTTTGGTACTGTAGCATGCTTCCTAACTGTAAATACAATGTACATACAATAAATATGTTTCTATTATTCTGGCCTCAAGATTAATTGGCTCAGTGGCCCAAGTTGCCATGGTAAATTTACAACATTTTATCATTTTCCCCCTCATCTTCTGCACCAATAACTCTACAGACTGTCTGCAGTCACTCCCTTAACATGACTGAAATAGCTATACTGCTATAGGCTGAATGCACAGTCATTTTAAAATGTGCTTATGTTTGCAACATCATAACCATGATCAATTATTCATAGGCTTTTTGCAGCTTAGTTCTTACTACATAAACTGTATGAACTGAGGAAGGGTAGGTGAAGGACAGCTTTTGAAACTAAGAATATTTCCACCGTACATTAAATTCTTTAATCTCAAAAAAGCAAAAAAAACATTGCATATTTATTACATGGACCCTTTAAACACTGTGTTGCTACAAAACACAGTACCATATCTTCAGATGATCAGGACACTCACCTCTCCCCAGGCGCCCACAGCGTCACGCCCCTCAGCCTTGCTGTGAGAGAGCTGCTGAATGCAGTTATTGACCGCTAAGCTGCTCTTCCCCTGGAGCCAGTTCTTCTTCGGGTATCTCCACCCAGCCCAGCGAGCGTACCGCAAAACACTGTCGTACACACACACAAACACAGATTTGTAACCTCAGTTATTTATAATGTCTTTAGAAAGCACTAAAGAAAAGCTTGTAGACTGTAAGATTACTTTAAATTTGGACTTTTTTGTATTGTTTTTGTTATGGAGTGAATTTAGTACTATTCCTTAACACAACAGACTTGGCCCCATCATAAACGTGGCCAAAAATATGTGTTCATTATTTATTTTGACACAGTACAAATCACACCAGCTGGCTGCTAGTGGCTGAGGTAAAAATAAATAAATAAAAAGGCAAAATCTGTGTTGCATCGGAACATGCAATTCTTTCCAGCGATACCCCAGATATGACTTTTTGTTGAGGCTATTTGTGTTTGTCATCACTGTGACCTGGATCCTCTTACCCGCACTTAATGGAGCTCTGCCCTTAGTAATTCCTCACTCATCCTTTTAGAGGTCAGTACACACGTATACACCCTTCACACACACATACATACTTAAATGACATCCACACAAACTGATCCATGTTCTGTCCTTAATCTCACCTTCTCACGCTTTCTACCATCTGTATTCTGCACTAGTAAAGCATTCATATTTTACCCTTTACCTCAGCATCTGTTCAACATTCATTCAATTCAACTGAACATGTGCACTAAGTGACAGAACAGACCCATACAGAGCTTCATACAACAGTTAGTCCCAACAAAGAAGCCTTTTTTCACAATCACTGTATCATTCCACTGAGTACTGGTTGCTAAGTAACAACTCACGCTGGAGCTTACAAAAACAGAAAAAGGAATATATTAGGTAACATCTTTAAGATAATATTTGACCTGCAGCCTGTTTGGTTAGACTCTGGAGAAGAGTGTGAGAGCAGCCCTACATCAAATTCTGAACCTGTTGTTGCTCCTAAGCAAGATTTTGGTCTGCAGCAGTGATGTTGGAACAACCAAACAAACTGGAATTAGCCAGAAACAAAAAGAATACAATTAAAAAAACAAGATGGGCTGTGAAATGTTTTACTCACTGACTAGTACAAAAGGAAATTCAGGTTAATCTTGTAAATCTCAAAGTTGAGCTGAAACTGATATTGCAACAGTTTTATGGCTCTACCTGTAAAGCAAAATGTTAATACTTTTGTAGAGGGAGGAATTTGCAATATTGCAACACATTTGATACAATGCTTGGGGCTCCTTCGCTTTACATTTTTCTTCATTTTGCTGAACGGTTGTATAAAAGCAATAGAACACCCGAGGTTGAGCATAATCACAAATAGACTTACTATCATCCCACGTTCTATTGCTTAGTTATATTGTCATTGTCCAAAGGAAAACGAGTATCTCCAAAATGGCAGCTTCACAGGAGAGGGCAAAATGTTCTTTATTTTTTTTAATGCAACGGAATGTAAAGAGGTTCTATTCCAAGTAATTTTAGAGCATTTCTGTTGCTCCGTTCATCATAAAATTTTCATACAATATAAAGGACAGCTGCTGTGCTCAAATGATGTAGAACAATAACAATGGGGGAAAAAAGCTTCTATTTTTTTGGACTTTGACAATATGATGAAGGAGGTTCAGTGGAATGGTACCTTGGAGTCTGGGTCCATGTTGGTGCAGAAGTACTCTTCCTGCCAGGACACTCTGAGGAAGAGAGAGAAAACGTTAGCATGTGGCTTAAATACATTAACTAAAACTGCAATCCCCAAAGATCTATCTATGCTTTGCATACAAATACTTTCTTTTGTAGCAACTTTTGAAAAGCTGACAAGTTATTGCAGAACACTGGCCAAAACATCATTATAAGAAGAAATTGTAGCACACAACTCAGTTTTCACAACAAGAGCAAAATTCTGAGTGTGTTATTAATGTCAAATGATATTTATTATGCTTGTGAAAGGTCACACTATTAGGACAGGATTAGGATGCTTCTGTTGTGCAATCAAGCTAACGTTAGCAAGATGGCAAATTCTTTGTCTTTTCCAACAACTTCTAGTCGTGATCAGGCCTGGTAGCAAGATCGAATGCATAAAAGAAATCACTGAGGGGGCACAACTATCTTCATCCAACATTTTCGTTTTCACTTTTTTGATTGGGTTGGTTGTGAACTGAAGCTTCGTTAGAAAAAATGTTCACTGCATTGTCCTGCTGTGCTCCAGCAGATGCTAAGTGGGTGGCTGTTCAGTGGTTGCTAGAGAGAAGAGACTGACTCACAATAGCTCATTTTCTGTGTATTGGTGTTTGTGTGCACACTTAATGTATTTCCACGACTAATGTTATCCATAGCTGTTTATATGAATGAAATAGAACAGTCCCAGACTTTTCAACTGAAGATATGGCCCTATAAAATGCTCAGCATCAGCTACCTCACTACCTCACAGTTCTATTTGCTCAGGCTGAGTGACTGGTTTTTGTGGGGTGGAGGTGTGGCAAGGGGTGACAGACTAATAATAGTAGAATAATAAAGTACTCAAGCATGGCACGACATTCAACCTGCTGAAAATCAAACTGCAGATGGTGTTACACATAATTCAGTGTGTTTACTATACCTGCTGTGTTTTTTTCTATTTTGCATAATGTTATTGTTGTGAAACTGTTACATTACAACAACTCGTAGATTCTCATGGAACATTCAGTTTATTTGCAGGTATGAGTTCCCACCAGAGGCACAGACTGTTAGGCATACAGTGCAGAATGTCTTCTGATAGATCAGTATGGGTTTGTATACAATTCTAACAAAAGACATTATTGACAGGTGTGACGTCAGTGTGCATAATTCATTATGAAGCATTTAAAAAACTCACAGAGAGAGCTAGCCAGGCTAAAGTACAAACGTTATATCGCAGGGTTAGTTGTAATACAATGTTAAGTCTCCTGAAATAAACAATGGAATTGGTAAACCTGCACACAAAATCCAATTATGGTTTTAAAAAAAATGCAAAATGTATCCAAAACTAACTTTCAGAGAACATGTTTATAATACATTTTTTTCTATGAGGAGAACTGATAAAAAAAATTAAAAATGGGGTAATCAATAGAAAACAAATCCAAATTAACAGAAACCAAAATAATGGGTGCCTTCACCCCCAGTGCTACAATATTCATGTATTTTTAAGGCCATGTGCTTCTGCTTCTGTTTGTATGACTTCAAGAAAAGTGACCACTGAGAAAAGATAGACATATCCAACATTTCTGTCAACTGGCAATCTTATCAGTAATGCTCTGTTTAATTAAAATTATTGGACAATCTGTTATTGGCCTTATATTGAATCTATCAAGTCCAGAATTCTATCAGCAAATCAGTATCTGCCACAAAATCTTCATATCGGTCAGGGCCCCCCACACGCATACACACACATTCACACTCTCAAGCTTGTATTTCTGTTTTTGTGGTATATTTCCTTTGTTTTGTTTTCTATTATAGCAAAATGCTTCTATGCTACACCTAACCCAGCCTTAACCTTAACATCACCCCTCCCCCAACTTACCCAAAAGCAAATCTTGTTATTTACGGTCTTTTTGTTATTTACATAAACAGATAAATTCCTTTGGGGACCAATCAAATGTTCACACAACATTAAAAATGTAATATTTTTCTAGTAGCATTCTGCAGACAGCTGGTCCTCACAAAGAGCTAAATTAATGACCACACACACACACACACACACACACAGACATAACAGTCTGCCCAACGTAGGGCTCCTGGCACTATTAGCAGCCAGTAGAGATGGCAGCTGCTGAGGGGAGTGCCAGGTCCTCTCCCTCAGGTGTATCCATGTGTTTTTGCTGTCAAATGAGCAGGCTAGTGGCTTCATTATAGCAGCTAACAAAAGAGAAAACATAAAAACCAGCACTTCTTAGAAAAACAAGCAAAATAACTGAAATTAGGTAGCAAATGTGAATGCACACTAGACATCTGCTAACCAACAAAATACTGGGTTTTGGGCAGGGTACCAGATGATTCTTCACAAACAACACCAGGCTTTGTTGGGGCATGGCACTGTTTTCTAATGAGTGATTTTTTTTACATAGTAGATGTGTTTTTATTTGAAAGAACATGCCTACCTAAATTTTGCATATTTACAAGTCCTCTCCTGCACGTTCTCTCTCTTTAATATATTTTAGTATGAAAAACTGCACAATGGGTGAAATAAAAAGAAACCTTGCAAAAGAGGAACTTAAATTTTGAAATTCCAAATGAGTCAGAGATGTCTACACTGTGGTAACATTATGACCTGGTCGTTACAACCAATAAAAGCACCTTTCTCATGTACAGCGTAGTGTTTGAGACTGTGAAAGCAGCCGCTAGCCAAAAACAAATTGCAGGGTACGTCTCTACACCACTTAAGTCAATGTCAGTCAGCATAGAATTTTTTTGTCTGTCGATCAATTCAAGTACTTAGCAACAAAGCAAAGCAAAACTACAAAACTGTGTCTGTGATAATCCATCTCTGTTCATGCGTGCGAGTGGGATCAGAGTGGGTTCGGGTTTCAAATTTAGCAGTATCCGTCAAACCTGGTCCAGTTGGGTGTCAATGACACGGGTACAGAAAGGGCTATAATTTACTGCCATGCACATCCCTAATGCATGCTGAAAGCAAACAAAATGGTCTTCTGATTGTGGTATGCATGTGTGTTGTGCATGCAGTGGTTTTGCTGACAGTGCAAAGAGAGAGAACTCACTGGTCACTGAGTGAGGTCATGGGCCTTTCTGTTAGCCTGCCTCTGGACTCACGCCTGCCATCTGCTCCATCACTCTGAGAGGAGAGAGACGTTTTAAACTTAAACCCCAAACTTTCATTCTTCTCTCTCATAACTACATACCTTACAGAGTTTTACAGTAGTTACTGAATAATTAGCCTAGAGTTTAACACAAGCACACATATAAACACACACATCCATACACTCCCACACACTAGTCTTTCTCACTACACAGATTTTGTCACACTCACGACTCCCACGCATGCTTCCACGTACATGTAAATTAGGTGTGTTTGTGAGTCACACTGGGGGACAGGCACAGTGCAAAATATGACTTGATGCCACTGCAATATGCTTTCAAAGTGCGCATAAAATTAACATTTAGTTTAGTAAGGTTAAACTAATCATGCACTCCGAACAGGATTCCTACTGTAAGCTTGTGAGGCACAGGGTTTAAAAGGCATAATAAACCAGTGGAACTTTCAAAAATCTCAGGACAAAAGAGAAAAAGAAAGTTCAGAAATGAAGAGAAATTATTTCCCATCAAAAATTCTACATCCAATAAACAAAGAAGAATTCTATTTGGGAAACAGCTATATGGCCTACAAGCGCATATCGCGGCATCAAGACACATTTTCTTCTCGCATATGTACATCTGATAATGTTACTTTGAAGGGAAATATTCTGTCAGTACGTCTTCAAGGCTTGTGCCTCCATGTATGTTATGTATTGTATTGATCCTGCCTAAGTATGCCTGGGAGCACTGCAAAAAATTGGTATCCTGGCAAGTGAAATGATCTTAAATATAGTTGATATATCTAAAATTTTATTGATTGACTGTTGTGAGCTTATTATAAGAAAATTTTACTTATTTCTGGACATTTTTAACTTACAGTTTTTAAGTAATTTCATTTTAGGCACTATGACTGCTGCTGCTATTTGCTTCCCACCAGGAAAGCACAAAGAAAGAAAAACATGTTTGAAAGACTGCCCCAAATTTACACTTGGTATTAAAAGGTGGAGAAAATTCATCACAAAATTGGCCACCGCTAGTTGCCCAATATCTCCACCCATTTTCTGCATGATCCTCCCATGTTTTACACAATCCTCCTTTAAATGCATATGAGGACATCTGAACATTTAGGCTCATTAGTTTTACACATACAGGCAGAATTAGTCTGAATTGAGATCAAAACTGGTGTAAAGGGCTTCATACATCAAGCCCTGAGAGTGTTATGAGAATCTGCACCACGTGTATGTAGTTCCTACACAAAAGTAGGAATTTTCAACAAACAGACCACATCATACTCTGCAAACCTACACATACCTGCAAACCTACACATACACACACACACACACACACTGAGAGAGGACCCTCACTTTGAGCTGGTTGGCTGTGAGTCCGTCGATGGTGTTGTGTTCCTCCTCTGTGCTGAATGAGGGGTGCTGCCACTGTGTGGTGCCGGAGGGCACATGCCAGTAGTAGGTGCCGGAGCTGTCCCGTATGGTGCGCCATCCTGGAGGCAGGTCAGAGTCCAACGCTAAACTCTGATCATTCCAGATATCATCTGTAAAAAAAAAAGTAACATTTAACATGTGGTTCTCAAAATAATAAAAAAGACATCTAAAAAGTACCTTCTGTTGTGTAGTTTTTTATAGTTGAAACCACATGGTATATTACTGTGCATACATTAATAAAAATTATTTATATGACTAGTGATTCCACTTTTGAACCACAGTACATCTGACATATTACTAATACTAGTATTACTACTAGTAATACTAATAATACTTGTATGCATCAGACAGAGTGTATCTATAGCCAGAAATGGATTCTGGTATTGACAACATAGGCAACTGTCTAAGGCAGCTACTTGCCAGAACGTGACATTTGTGACTGGTGTGGTTCATGATCTTGCTCATGTGGTTCATTGCCATTTTCATTTCTTTAACTGATGCACACAAAAGCAACTATAAGCTACAAGCTCTCATTTGTGAAAAAACAGCTTAGAAAAACACAGACTTCAGAATAAAATCATTTTGCCATATATCTTAATTACATTTATTAAAATAAATGAATAAACATTCCATTTTGTCAATATCAAACAATCATAACACTACTGAAACTTCATTAAATGTTTTGTTAGTGACTGCATCATCAATTTTGCACAGAACTTAAAAATGCTAGCCATTGCATAAATAGCATACATAGCTTTGAACAACTCTACACACATAACATGGAAGTGAACGGAGAAATATATTTTTCCAAGTAATTCTGCACAATTTCTGTTGGTCCGTTCATCATGAAATTTTGAGACCACATAAAGGGCAACTGCCTTTTTCAAACTAGGTTAAAAATGAAAAATGACAATAATGGAGATACGAGGTTTTGTTCCGAAACCTGCGATATATAAAAAACTTGAAATTCCAGGGTTAGGGGTTTGGGACACTCACCTCCCAATAGAAATGACCCTATAAATTGTATTTTTTTTTATATGTTTATCTTATTACTATTTCAATTATTGGGTTTTAAAAAAACATAACATAATCCCTGTAAATATCCAAGGTCTGAATATTTAACCTTTTTTTCTTTACTGTGGGACTGTCCAACTGATATTGTAGACTAATATGGTACATAGTATGTTGTAACACAATAGTAATATAATAGATAATATAATTGAAATATAATATAATTGTAAAATAATAATATAATAATAATATAATTAAAATAAAATAAAATTATAATATAAAGTAATATAATTGTAACAGACTAATATGGTATATATTATGTTGTAATCTGAGAAATAATTCCTTAATTTTCCTAATTCCTTAATTTTTGTTCAAACATGCACACATTAGTAGCTGATGAGAACAAAAAATAAAGGAAGAGACACAGAATATGCCATTTTAAACATGAGAAAAGAGCAGACTTAGCTTGCAGGCACAACAAACACACATACAGAGCAGGGTCACATGTGACAGAGAGAGCGAGCACTCTCATCCGCCTGTATGTAACACAGCCAAATATAAGGTCACTATCCACTGCAGCTCACCATTTTTGACCACATGATCCAACCTCAGCCTTTTCCTTTTAGCCCTCACTGTCTCTCACTCCCTCGTTGCCTCAGTCAATAAGTGCTATGAATCAGGGGCAGTGATGGAGCAGCTGTGTGTATTGAGTTATGACAAGGAGTTTTAGCCTGAGGGAATGATTTAGCATGATGCATGAAGAGTCCACTCACATTCCACAAATAACACAGTTTGGATGGCTGGAGGGGACGGCACTGAGTGCGTATGTGTGTGGACAGGAAGTGGGTCAGTAGTGACACGAGGTTGAGGCTGCACGGGTAGTGAGGATGCCTCTCAGAGCCACGCCACAAAGCTGTCCTCACAGTGAGGGCATGGGGGGGCGGGCAGGGGGGTCAGAGGATGAGAGAGAGTCTGAGAGAGAGAGTGTCAGAGACAGAGAGAGTCAAAGAGAAAGACAGTGTCAGAGGCAGTTAGAGAGAAAGCGAGAGTAGAGAATAGAGAGAGAGAGAGGGAGTAAGAGAGACAGAGTTTGGGAAAGAACATGAAGTAGGAGGCAAGATCTTAACTAATATTAAGTGTTATATTTGCGAGAGAAAAAAACAACAGAGAGAAATTAAAAGTCACAAGAGGAGCATGAGCAAGGGAGTCTCAGAAAGAATAAGAGAAAACCTGAAAGAATCTGAGAGAGTACGTGAGTGTAATATTCCTTCACACATCTGCTCATACAGCAGTCTGAACAAAGGACGGAATCCCCAGTCTGTTCAGCTGATGAAGACAGCAGATCTTCTAACTAAGCTACAATGAGATAAGGTCTATGAGAGCCAGGAATGCACTATTGCAGATGTTACATGCTTCAAGGCTGTGGCAGAATTGCAGATATCTCCAAAAAAAGACTTTAATACATTTCTGGAGCCTTAAAAGCCTTAAAAATGCTTTCAGTGAACAGGGAGCACTTACTTTTTGTCCACTAAATTGCTACATTAACTGCATTTCCCTGTGGTAGCCTGTGATATATTTCACATACATCTGACAGATGTTAAGTTAGTTTCAATGTGTTTTTTCTTTAATGAGAGAGAGATGTATTCCATGCATGTACAGGGACTGTATGCACCTGATCTGACCAATCAGCTAATTAAGAAGTCCTTCCTGAGTTGAAGCTGGTGAGCTGAAGCAGAGAAAACAGTTAAAAAAGTTCAAAGCTGAGTATACTCTAGGAATAGCGTTAGGAATCACTGCTCTATATGGGCAGCAAAGAGCACACTGCTGAACAAAAGAAGAGGTATTTTCAGCTTTGGGTAACAATTAGGGTGCAACCATCACCACAAGTACAGACTAATTTGATTACAGTGGATCTAAGATACAGTCTGTAAATACAGCATGTACAGGCCTACCTTATAGATATACAGGCATAGCACATATAGCATATATACCTACTTATAGATTCACTATAAAGGTGTACAACTACTCACTACTATTCCATTCATCACTGACCAGTTTTTGACCACAAGACTGCTGCTAACCAGATATTATTTGTACAGTGGACCATTCTCAGCACAGCAGTGATACCGACATGTTCATGGCATGATAGTGTGTGACAGAATTTGATACAATACAGTGGTGTTTTGACTCAATGCATTTTTCACTATAGCAAGTGGCTAAAATGTGCCTTACATTAATTATTAATCATTAATTGTTATACCTATAATACAATTCCATTTTTTTATTTTAGGATTCAACATTATGAAAGTACAATATTCGAAACAAAGGTTGTGCTTTACAGTGTTTTGATTTAATGTTCGAGCCCCAGGCTAACACACTAACCACAAAATAATAATAATGCTATTCAGGTACGTTGTGCAAAAGCGTGGTTTTTGATACCGTTCACAAGATTCACAAGAATCACAAGATTCTAATCAACCATCTTGAATACTGGGTAGGCCTCTCGGGCACAGTTTTAGAATGGTTTAAATCATATTTAGTGAATAGATAGATCTTAGTTTCACTGGATAATCATTCAGCAAAAAAAGCAACATTTCCCACAAGGTTCAGTTTTAGGGCCTTTGCTTTTCTCTTTGTACGCTACCTCAAGGTGAAGTCATTAGGAAACATGATATCAATTCCTTCTGATAATCAAGACTCTGACAGGCTTACCAGCTGTGAGTCAGATATTTCTCAGAGGATGTCACACAATTTTCTACAACTAAATCATGAAAAAACTGAAACTCTGATACCTTGGTATTAACATTCAGAAAAAAAATGCTTTATGGGAAGCTCAGCTCTTCAGATTCATATACCAAACCTGTACTACGAAACTTGGGTTTCATCTTAGACTCTGAGCTCTGTAAACACAGTCACTAAAGTAGTTTTTTAGCATTTGGGAAATATTGCTAAAGTTTAGCCTTTTCTATCACAGAGCGATGCAGAGAAACTTGTTCATGCATTTTTTACAAGCAGAGTTGATTACATTTATTTCCCTTACTGGGCTCCGTAAGAAAACTTGTTGTACAAAATGAGGCAGCAGGGATCCTAACAAAAAAAAGAAAGCTCATATCGCTTCCTGGCTACCTGTATCTTCCAGGATAGATTTTAAAATTCGGCTACTAGTTTTTGAGGTTCTAAATGGCCTAGCACTCGCTTACATCACAGAATATCTGTCTGTTTATGTTCTTGCATGCAATATTAGACCTGCAGATACTGGTCTTCTGCAAATATCTTCCAAAAAAAAAACAAAAAAAAAAACAAAAAACAGTGAGCCCTCTTTCAGTTATTATACTTCTAAACTGTGAAACTCAATTCCACCTTATATTAGACGGTCAAGCTGTGCTCACTTTTGAGAAAAAGTGAACAACACATCTCTTTAACTTAGCGTTTAATTAAAAGTCTACATCTCCTGGTTTTTATCTTTTAAAACTCTGGCGGTTTTAAATGAATACTAATTTCTTGTATTACTGTTAAGCTTAATCACCTGTCTAAAGCACTTTGAGCTGCCACCATCATGAAAAGTGATATATAAATAAAGATTATAATAATAATAATAATTATTATTATTATTATTTATTTTTTTATTACATGTTGCCATACAATTTCATACAGTACGAAACACTGGATTATTACATCCATAGTGGCGCTGTTACAAGGGTTAGAGGAAGGGCACCCAACTCTGGTCCTGGATGTCTGGAACCCAAACACACCTGATTCAACCAATCTGTTACTTGCCAGGTTTAGTGGGCTTAGTGGGTATGTACGAGTAGAGCAAATACCAAACTGTGCTAGACCTCAGCCCTCAAGGACCTCAGGAAAGCACCCCTGGGCAAGAGAGTTGCTAATGTGAATTATGCATGACAACACATGTTGCTAACTATACACCTACAAGGTAAATATTTTTTTAAATAAAATGTCCAGTCTAAATCTCAGAATCTTAATGTCACATAGCATTAGTCAACTTTTGAGGGTGGGACTGGGTGACAAGATTACTGCAGACTTACCAGTGTATGATGGGTAGGCAGCAAAGGTTTTAACAACAACCCCCAACTCCTGC